TTTTTTTATTTCACGCGGTAATTCCCCCACTCGGTTCTAAAGCGAGAAGGGGAGACACTATTTGTGGGAATCCCCGAAAATACGTTTCGCTTTCAAGCAAAGACCATGTGAGGGTTGCCATTCGTGTAAAAAAGTAAATAACTACCGATGACGTAATCATCGTCTAGACTCCCCTACCCCCCATGACATCCAAAATAAGCAAAGCAAAGACCTCCCCGCCCCCCACAGTGCTCACGTAATACTTGAACGGCCCCTAAGCTGTGTCACAGAAAAAGCTCCATCATACTCACCTATTCAAAAATTCAAATCCTCGCAAACCAACAGATATTTGTTTGGGGCATACACATAATTTAAAACTTCATCAAGCGTAGACAGAAATAGATCGAATTTCCCTGTAAGTTACCGATGTAAACAAATAACAATATAATATTTATTATTTAATATAAATAGGGAAATGCAATACTGACAGTGTTTTTCAATACACTCAGTGTTAGCCCTTAAACTTTCAACAGAAAGGTCTGAGTTTACAAAAATTGCCGTGCCTCCACCACGAAATTCTGGTCGTGACGGATGGCTGATTACGATATTGGAGTTGTGTAATATCAGTGTTATTTAAATATTCGGGTTTTATGTAAAAGCTTATGACATTTTATAGTAATTGATTTTTGATTATAAATAACAAATGTTGGCAAATCATATTCTAAGAAATTCGGTTATAATTTGTGGTAGGATTGTTTACCATTTAATTAATTTCGGTAGCATCAAGGGATGACTTATCAAATACCTCACTTAAGTAAAGTTTTAATGCTTTATATTGCTCCATCTGCAGCAAAACTAACCATATCGTTTTGTATGGTATTTAATATTTATTAAAAAAAGATATAATTTTATTTTATGAACCGTGCACTGGTATCAGTATCGGGAATTACCTCAAGAAATTCATCTTTAGTGTTCAAATCTTCACTATTAAAGCGCACCATCATAGCTAAATTTTGTACTGCGGAACTATCAGTAGATTGATCGACAAGCAAAGAAATTTTTTTAGTATATGTCTACTAAAGTTTCAAAGCTTACTTTATCTATTGCATTAATTATTGCAGTACCCTTGGTTCTGCTGCATGTTTTGAATAACTGGAGTTCATTCCAGAATTACATATACTTTTGACCAACTCAATCCAATGATCCGCTACATTGATAGGAATATTTCGTTCTGTAATAAAGCACGCTATTCTTTTTTCATTTGGTTTAGCAATTTTCTCAATAAACATCTAAAAAAACAATTCTTACGCTCTTAAGCTAAGAATGTTTGTTTTATGTTTTTTTGACACGTTGTGTTTTTTCTGCGTAAAATCATTATGTTGTTCCCAAGATGAATTATATTTGTGAGCATAACATTTTTTTTCTACGGAGGCTCTTCTGAATAATGCCTTGTGAATTAGATGTACATAAAGCGGGAGTAGATGGAACCGCAGACGCACATGTGGACGTAATTGATGATGAGCTTGCGCTAGGCTGTTCCGTGTTTGAATCTATCTGCTTTTCGACTGTATCAGTTTAAAAAATGATGAACACTAGGATATACTTCCAAAAATATAAATTATAAAAAAGCGCGTACGTACTCGTATCAATAAGATACGCGTTACCGGCGGTTCGGAAATTTAGTAATCGTTGGAGTATTTGGTAGCTGCAATATTGTTAAGAATATTCAAAATCGATGGAATATTACTAAATCCGTTTTTAAACTACATTTTTTGTTCAGTTGATGAACTTTGGAATCGAGTATGTATATATGAAATTATATAAGAGAACACCTCATTTTCTTCTTGGTGTTCATCAAAGCATCCTGATTCCTTGAAAAAGGGTTTAGAGATACAGAGGTTCTATATTGGAAGGATGTATTTGATAGAACATTACGACTATTTAGGATTTCTACGTGATTCACATACTCATATTATGTGGAGCGCTATGAAGCATTCAACAAGCAGAGCTGAAGGCACTTCATTCCTCTTTTTTTGACAGGGTAAAGCTTTTATAGCCACTCTCAGGCAGAAAAACTTGACAGTATTGCCCCGCCTGCCCTTCCTGTCCGAAGTGTGAGATTCTCCAGAAGTGGCATACTCATGAAAACCCCTCAGTCGTTCGCCACACATCCCACCACGGTAGGAATGCTTGCAGCATTTTTTCATAGTGGGTAGCCACCTATCACATTGGAGTAGGTTTAAAAAAGTTATAGCTTAAAAAAAGTTGATAAGTCAATCGAAAGTCAGATATTCTGATAATATACAGGGTGTAAAGTTAGTAGTGGATCAATGGAAGTCAGGTGATAGAGGGCGTCAAAACATTTCGAATGAACTCCTATATGTGTGTGGTCCGAAATTTTATAGTCCAGGAGATATTTGCAATTAGGTGAAATTCGAAAAAAACGGTAAAAATGAACTTTCAATCGCAACTACAACTAAACCATTAGGCTTAGGGCTGTGATTTTTTTTGAGGTAAGCTAAATGGTTAGTTTCAGCAATGGTTACGTCACTTTTTAATAGAGCTAATTAGAAATCAACGCAAAAAATTATGAATTCATTTTTTTGTGAAAATCTTTTCCATCCGTCAACTTAGGATGGCGGTAAAAAAAATTGAGGTTGTATTTCATTATTCATTTTTTTGTAAAAACTATTTCAATCTATGTAGAATAACCTATGAAAATTTCGGCTTGCTACGATAAGTGCCTCACCTCAAAAAATCTGTATGTTTGACGCAGGTGGGCATCTACATACATGAAAACAAGAAATTCTATTTTACGAGCTACGGTCCAAACGACTTGATGGATTTTGACATATGAGAAACTGTTAGATTCGTCTTAGCAGTGCGAGTGAAACTGTGTGTATTAACATTTTGTAAAATCAAAATGGCGGATTTTTTACGCAAATAGCCAAATCAGCTTAATGAGCTTAGGCACTCGACTCGGCATTCCAGGTGCGGGAGCGTTCAATCTTCGGTCCGACCGAAATTACTAAGTCAGGCAATAGTCCAGCATGGCATATTCAACATGCACAATTTCCATTCATGGAGTGTGAAAAATCCACACGCTATTCGCCGACACAGCTTTCAGCATCAGTGCGGCGTTAATTTATGGGCTGGAGTATTCAACAAAAAATTAATTGGACCATATGAATTGCCCGCCAGGTTGAATGGTCAGTCATATATTGCTTTTCTACAAACCAGTTTGCATGAGCTGTTAGAGGATGTACTTTTGGACGTTCATAACCGCATGTATTTTCAATGCGATGGTGCCCCATGCCACTTTGCACGGGATGTACGGCGTTACTTAGACAGTGCCCTTTCCTGAGCATTGGATAGGTAGAGGTGGACAGATACGATGGCCTCCAAGGTCACCAGATTTAAATCCTCTAGATTTTTTTATATGGGGGTTCTATAACATTCTATACGTATACATCTGAATATACAAATGTCAACCAACTGCGCCAGAAAATTGATGAAGCAAAAATAAAAATTATGGAAAACGCAAATTCATTTCAAAGACTAAAGGACAATTTTATTAGAAGGTGTCGCTTATGTATAGAAAATAATGGAAGCCATTTCTTTAAAAGTTAGTTAAATTAAATTATCTTCCACATTTGTCGGTAAATCGCCATAAAGAGCGGATAAACACAATAGGTTCCGTACTTGTAGGTGGTAAGGATCATATTGCGTTTCTTACTTTTATCGCATCACAACAACAAATCTGGCAAGCCAAAATTTTCAGGGTTTATTCTACATGGATTGAAATATACAATAAAATGAATAATGAAATACAACCTCAATTTTTTCACCGCCCTTCAAAGTTGAGGGATGGAAGAGATTATTCAAAAAAGAATTTAAGCTTTTTTGCGTTGATTTCTAATAAGCTCTGTTGTGACATAGCCATTGCTGCTAAAACTAACCATTTAGCTCATCTCAGAAAAAAAATCACAGCCCTAAACCTAATGGTTTAGGTGTAATTGCGATTAAAACTTCATTATCCCGTTTTTTTTCGAAATTTCACAAAATTGCAAATCTTTCCTGAACTATTAAATTTCGTACCATACATATAGGGGTTCATTCGATAGGTTTTGAGGTCCTCTATCACCTGACTCGTTGATCCACTACTACCTTTGCATCCAGTATAGTTAACATGTCTCAATCATATAAAATCTCATACGAAGAATAATAATAATATGATGTAAAAATTCATAAATTATATACAATCATATTTTCCACAAAACTTTTACATACTGGTTGTCAATGTTACGGAAATGTGATTAGATATTCTTGTATTATAATTCTTATAAAAAATCTGGTGACTCCAGAAACCTTATGACATTTCTTTTTAAAAAGAATTTGTTTTCATCACTAATTCTAATAATTTTACCATGCAGGTACTACAGAAGACTATCACCAGGAATTTAAATATTTGGGCCATAGATATTATTGATACGTTCATACAATATAAAGATTAGATAAAAATATATTCTCAAGTATAGATTTTTTACTGTTCTCAAAACTTCAAATAACTGCGATATAGGGATGATTTCATAATGGTCAGTGTTATCGACGCCGCTGCTTTAACAGATAAGTGGCTACTTATTTGTAAAAACAGAAAAAATATGTTAACAAAACATGGAGTTATGAAATCTTCCATATTATATTAGAAATGCACACTAAAAAATTATACAACAGTCTCGGATTTATGCAAAGAGCCGGTAACGTCGCAGGCGATGTTTATGCACAATCTGGCAACAATGCGGCAGAATGTGCAGAACATGGTGCATGACACTGACATAAGTCAACCGTGTTGCCTGGTGTTGCCCTATGGATAGTACGTGACTAAATCTTCTTCAGTGTATATGTTTTGTGATGATCGACCAATCAATAGAGAACTTGTTTGTCACTTGGCTCATTGACCACACCCAGCCCCAAAGATTTTCCCTCATGACGTCCATCCAATTTCTGTCATATAAGTTTTGAAAATGTCAACTGCACGTGCAAATTTGAGGTTAAGTTTAAGAAATGTGGTTTCAAAAACAAGAATGAATTCGATTTTGCATAATTAAAGTTTATATGAGCCTCAAGACACGTGTTTTAAAATAACTAATATGAGCGACACGCACTCAAAAAAGTGGTACAAGAAATCATTCAAGAGCAAGTGCAGAACAACAGAATATTTTCAAGATGGGGAGGTTACTAAGGCAGTTGAAAAATCGAAAAACTACATAAAACCTAACAAGAATAGTAAGAGTCAGGCAAATGAAAATACTTCGTATGGTGGTAAGAAACAATTCTTAGAACTACTGTCCAATTATAAAAAATAGTTGCCTAGTTATTTCCACATGACAATAGAACAGTATAAGATTGAGGTAGATTTGCTTGCTTAGACGAACTTACCTGTAAGTGATGCTCGCGCTTTATTATGTGAAGGCATCCTTGAAGTAAATAAAATTGGTGTAGCCCCCTGTTTCCTGGCTGAATCCACAAGTTTAAAGTGCATGCAATGAAGAAAAAAGCATCTGCACCCTCCCACCTTACTCCTCCCTGGCCCTTGGCCTAAAAACTCTCATTTTCTTCAAAGCTGTTGCAACAATTGGGTGTTACATAGGGAGCGAGCTATTTACTTCAAGAAGGCCTTCACATAATTAAGATCAGACATCAACTTGATTTATCTGGAATGCTGCTTGAGCAGTCTAAGATCCGAACTAAAATCGTCTTCCACTGGTGTGTCAACCAGATGAAAATGGCATTTTATCAAATGAAATTAGTTTTTGAACATTCTTTGATTAGACAACCCTTTAAAAAATGGTCATAGATATATTTAATTAATATTAAAAAAAATATGATTTGGCAGCTGCGCTCAAACAGGTAAGTGGATAATAGTAATTGCACTCTTCTGTCGACCAATTGAGACCAGTCTTAAAATGAAGACAATTTAATTACAAATCACATAGTATAGGGTTGCTCGAGAAAATCGGTTCGTAGACAGTGGTTGTAAGACTTTAAAGTTGAAAAATCGGGGCGAGCGAAATTGTTAGACAGAGGCATTGCGCATAATATTCCCCACTATAGACAAGGAAACAGTATTACAGCTGTGAGACAGTGCACATATTGTATACTCATAGTAAAGACAAGGATAAATGAATTTACTATAGAGCAATGTTTTGAGTAGTCAGTTGTAAATGTAAATTAAAAATGACGAAAAAGTGTTTTTTATGCAAAAAAGTGACTGTAATTGATTTTAATGACAAGTCCTTCGAACCTTGTTCTTTAAAGTTATCGTTTTGACAATTTAAAGGTTTTAAATATAGTGACGTCAAGTTAACCAAAGATTCAATTAAGTTTGAAGGTTATCATTCCTCTAGTTATAAAAAAGTAACAGCTTTAAAAAAATTACAATGACGATTTCGATGTATTTGTCAAAAATCTTGAAGTAAGTATATTGTCAATAATGTTTTTTATTTTTATCATAAAATTGTTTCCCAAATTTTGTTTCAACACAATATCTCAGTTACTTAAATTAAACCGGAAATTTATAAAAGTAGATAAAAAATCTATTCATTCAATTTTTGATCGATATTTTTCTCCCTCAATCAAGGATTCAGTACGGCAGACTCGACAGGAATTTGATATTCCGTTCAAAATTTGAGGTCCTCAACAAACTAGACCGCCAGATTTTTTGAAACGTCTGAAAAATCATCGTTTCAAAGAGCCTTTGATACAGTTTTTGGCAAACTATTTGGAAAAGGACTGTTTATAAAAAGTAATCAATGATAAAAGCAATTTTTTGACAGTGGAAGAACATTGCTATTCGTATCACACTCAACAAAATCGTGTAATAAAAACGAAAGAAAATGATTATGAATGTTTTCACGAAGAGGCGGATACGAGAATGGTTTTTCACGCTTACAAGGCAGCAGCAGGTTCAAATATTTTAATCAAATCACCACATACAGATGTTTTGATAATTTTTTTGGGCAATATGAACAAAATTCAAAACTGTAAAATTTAGCTTGCAAGTTCATTGACAAAGAAAAAGAATAGTAATGACATTAATTGCATAAATTGTACAGAATTGGCATCGAAGTTGGGATGCGATCTGTGTCTAGGTCTACCTGCTTTCCATGCATACACTGGTTGCGATTACACCGCAGCTTTTTATAATAAGGGGGAGCTAAGACCATTTAAGCTATTTTCGAAGATCCAAACGTATCAAAAATGCTTAATTAATGATAAAATGAATGTTATTCCAGAATTTACCTTGGCCATGTATGGTATTAAAAATTGTAATAAAGTAAATGACGCCAGATATCAAATATTTCTTAAACATTTTTCTGCGAAAGAAGATAATGAAAATTTCCTTAAAAAAGATGAATGTTTTGACTCAAATACGATACCCCTATGTTGGTTGGGAATCACTTAAACAAAAAATTTTACGCACTATTTTTAAGAAAACGAGGAGTTTCCTCTGACTTGGGAAACGATACAACTTCCGGCGAGTGTGATCTTGAATAATAATTATTTGTCACTGTTTTGTATTATCACTTATTTTGATGTATTTATTGTTTAATAAAAAATATATATTTTTTATTCTGTGTGTATTAATGTTTTTTAAGAATATTGTTCTTTTTGCTTTAAAAACATTTTTCGTTACTACTTTGACATATGTTGAGTATTCCAAAACTTTTTTATTACGATTAATACGTAAAAGAATCATATTATCTACTCCTAAACATTGCTCTATAGTAAATTCATTTATCATTGTCTTTACTATGAGTATACAATCTGCGCACACACAGTTTACGGCGCCTTTGCGCACAGCTGTAATAATGTGTCCTTGTCTATAGCGGGGAATAGTACGCGCAATGTCTCTCTGTCTAACAATTTCGCTCGCCCCGATTTTTCAACTTGAAAGTCTTACAACCACTATCTATGAACAGATTTTCTGAAGCAACCCTATGCTACGTGATTCGTAATTAAATTGTTTTCATTTTTAAACTTGTCTTGATTGGTCGACAGAAGAGTGCAATTACTATTATCGACTTACGTGTTCGAACACAGCTGCCAGGTAATAGGAACCAGAAAAAGGTGAGCAACTGAGAAGCTGCATTTTGTGTACATTGTAAACATTTCATTGGGTTTTGTTTGGTTGGTACGCCGGCGAAATTTTAATAATAATATTTTTTAGGGGGTTGCCCAATCAAAGTATGTTCAAAAACTTATTTCATTTGATAAAATGTCATTTTCATCAGGTTGACTTGATCCATTTTTTCATACATGTACTTAGCTAAATTTTTTCTAAGAGGGGCTAACTTGTGCTGCACATGACAGTATTGCGTGGGGAGCGCAGAGTCAACCTACTTGACGCCATTTTTTAAATGTGATTTTCAATTGTAATGTGATTATATTTAGATTGTTAAAACAACTGTTGCAAGGTTGGATGAATTGTGACGGATTATACAGGGTGTTCATTAATGATATGCAAATATTTAAGGGTGTGAATCTACATGAAAAATTAATGTTAGTTTGTTTCATAAACTATGATCCAAAAATGTTTTATTACAAAAACTCGGGGTGTTGAAGTTTTAGGAAAAAAATGGAACAGCATGTCCAGCGTATCTAAATGACATAAGTATTATAGAGAACTGTTTTAAAAACCGTGTTCTGAAAACCAAAATTATATTCATCAAACGATTTATACAACACAAAATTATTGGATATCAAGCAACTTTATTTGTTACATATTATCGATTTTCACAAAGTTGTCAGTGAGCGCGATAAAATCACACATTGCCATAATACTAGAGATAAAGGACCCTAAATCCCATAAGATCATAATGAAGCTATCTTTTCTCTATTTGGCTCCAAAATTATATAAACACATACCCAAAGACTTGAAACAATTCAGAAATACACGTAATTTTAAAAATAAATTATCAAATTGGATATGCTCAGTAGGAAGATGAACTCCTATCAAATATTCATTACAAATTATCGTCTTCTACATATACACCTCTTTAATATACATTTTTCTTCATGTTTCTTCCAACTTTTTTGTTTTGTTTTTGGAATGTTCCAACATACAACTAATCAATGTACAGGCAATTGCCTTGTGGATTGGAACATTTATTTACCCATTTTATGTTGTTATTATTGTTCTTATATAATGGAGTAAATAAATATATATTTATCTATTTGTTCATTCTTCCTTGTTATTGCAACTAATTGCTTTATATGACTTGGGTATTATACGTTCTTAAAAATTGCTAACACATACGGAATTTCAAGTTTTCCTACCCATACGGAAGTTATATTTATCATTGAATTACTTAGTAGTAGCACTTAGTACTCTAATACAAATTGCTGTTTATAGCATAATATATATGATAAGAACGGCTTTTCTTTTTGTTCTCTTAATATACAGACCGATTCAGAAAATCGGGGCATTATTTTTGGGATAGAGAAAATTCTTATAAAGCGTCAACTTCTAACACATGGAATTGAAATTTCAGTTCTGAAATAGAAAAAGGAAAATCACTGACTTTCTTAAACATTCATTGCTTTTTTATCTGAGATATTTGAACGCTATCCATGTTTTGTCCTTTTCAGTCGTATCTGTGATGTAGAAATCTACAACTTCCTGAGTGTTGGTAATGAGACATTTTAGGACCTATTTTTATAAGACATTTTTTGTTATTTTTGATGTACCTTCTACTCTAGAAATACTGCGTCGTTTCTTCAATCATCCTGTATACCGAATCACTACTGACAAACTGAAAAAAATGTGATTTCAGGTGATAATGATCAACGTTTAGTCGCATCATCCAAATCGAAGACAGAAAATTTTCAGTTTAACATAGAAATAAAACAGAAGATTAAGGACGTCCAAAAACGAGTGCCACAAAATGCGATTTGTGCTACGAATGATCCATGTGGAAAAAAGCAAAAAGCTTCTGAGAAACGCAGAAATAGAAGGAATGCATACAAGAGAAAACATAAGTTAAAAAGAAAACGGAAGTTGTCTGTTAATCTTATTCATGAAAATTTTTTTAATGGGTCAACCCCGATTACTGATTTGGAAAGCTTGGGAACGCCTAAACTAATGCTAGATGAAAAAGTGTTTCTACAAAGTCGAGCTTGCATAGACAATTCAGAAGATCGGTTGGTCAAGAAGGGAATCCCAAATGATGTGATTGATAAAAACACCAGGTACATTCAAAGTTCTTTAAGCCAAAGGCCTATAAATAAAAGTAACGTATACCCGTCCGGGATTTTAAGCAAAGAAAGTAGTCGGATATCAGATAATGCATATCGTAGCATTAGCGAAAATCAAAGTGATTCAGAACTATTTTACTTTGATTTTACTGGTGATTACAGTCAAAATCAAAGTCCTACAAGTCCTAACAAAAGCTTGGTTTCTAAAAAGTGTCCTAGCACAAATCCTGGTTTATCTAAAAGAGTTGATATTTTATTCAATCAGTTCAACTTTGAAGACTTGAAGGATTCCAGTGAAAGTTCAGATGATATCTTTGTAGACGAATTGAGTCGACCAAGCATTGATAGAACAATTGGGAATAACTATGATAAAGTATGTAGAGATTTGGAACGTGCTAATAATGTTCACCTAAAAAACAAGAAAAGACCTGAAGTACATCACGGTGCTAGAAATTGCGATGGGAAACAGTATAATAGAAAAACACACATTTCCAATAACGATTTGGTTGAGGGTTGTAATGGAACACGTGTTTCAAAGTTAGGACAAAATGTTAAACTTAACAGACAGTTGTTAGATGTTGATAAATCGATGTCTGAATTGGACTCTGACCATGGTCATATGATTAATAACGTTTCACAAAATCCACTTGAATATAAAAAATGCCGGGATAAGAGCAAGGATAACCCGATAAATGGAACAGAAGACGCATCATGGGAAGATAAAAGTAAAATAGGAGAAATACATAATTCTAAGTACCGATTAGCGCAGGCAACTACAGATGAACGAGCGAATGTGGGAGTACATGAAGAAAAGCGAATTGTTGAGTTAGCGCAAGATATTTCTGATTTTTGGACCAATGTATTATCTGAACTCAAAACGAAAAAGAAAAAACGAAGAAAAAAGGGGAAAGATGTGACTGGGCTATTTGAGGACACTCAGAACGGTCACAATAATTACAAAAACTCCAAATCGATAAATAAATTCGATATAAGTTTATCGAAAATTAAACAAAATACTAAAATTGAAAACAGCAAGGACAACACTGAGTTATTGCATGAAGTGCTTGAAACAAAGTCTAACAGAGGGAAAGAGATTATTGAAAAGCACGTTCACGATTATGGTAAGAATAAATTAAAAAATAAATTTGATATAAGTTTATCAAAAATTAACAGAAAGACTCATCTTGAAAACAACAAAGACAACATTGAGTTGTTGCGTGAAGTACTCGAGATAAAATCTAAATCGGAAGAAGTAAATGATAACTCAATAAGGGTAAACGGGAATAAGTTAGAATTAGATCAAGACCATTTAGAAATTATAGATATGCACACAGATATCGATAAAAGTATGCAGGTACAGGAAGTAAGTCAAGGAGTTGGACCAGAACGTTTAAATGGTGGTATTGAAGCGAAGCTTTTAGAGAAGGTCAAAACGAAAAAACGAAAACGCCATGAAATAATTCTAGTCACACTTAATAGCTTTACAGACAGTGAAATACTAGATGAAATAGAAACAGTTTCACCAAAAACAAAGAAAGATAAACAACTTCACGATAGGAGTCATGAGGGAGAAAAACATCATAAATCACATGAGACTGACATTAATAGGTTGGCATCATGTAAAAAAGAATTAGAAATCAAAAATGTACAAATGGTTATGGGCGACAGAGAAAAAAAACAAGAAATAGAGCTCCAAACTTCACCTGAACCAAAGAGGATGAAGAGAAAAACAAAAAGAATTATTGTCAATTCTGAAATGATTCAAGATGAACTCAATACTTCCACAAAATCTGAAATATCAACAAATGATTATGACGAATTACGTGAAATAGAAATAGAAGTAAAAAAATTACAATCAGTAGCAGACGTGCCAAGAAATACCCAACAAAATATGCCACAACATGTAAACGCTGCGTTTACGGCCAGAATTTCACCTGAACTCAAGGGAAATAAAAAGAAAAGAAAAAGTATCGTTAACCCTGAAATAATTCAACATACACTTATTACTTCTGCATATGGTGGAACACTGCATGAGATTGAAGCAAACTCTTCAAAAAATAAGAAAAAGAAGACCAGAGACAGGAGCAGCTTTCAAACGCAAGATGAAATGCTTGGTATTGTATATACTGATCAACTGCAAGAAAAAAATGCTCAGATAGGTAAAGATAAAGTAACCAGCAGAGTTAAAGAAAAAAAATTATCTGATGGTCATGTAAGTGAAGCTGAAAATTATATCAGCGCGATAGAATCTAGCGCACACTCAAATACTCCTTTGAAGAAGAAGAAAAAACGTAAAGTTGCTAGTACACCAAATATCAGTAGCTTCGATTATTCAGAAACTAATATCACAGGAAGATTAACTACGTTGTCATTCGAACAAAACAGTGAAACGATAATGGGCGATTGTGGCAAACAACGAAGGTCGGAAGAAAAGATATCTGAATTGCTGGATAATACGTTTCAAAGACATCAAACTCTGAATAAACTAAAAATCGCAGATACTCCAGAGACTACTGAAGCTAACGAATATCACAATGGAGATATTCCTTCAAAAGAAAAAATGTCAAAGAAACCGATACCTGCAAAACTAAGTGAAATAACTAGTACTGGTCAAAAAGAATACAACGTAAGTGAAAGGTTCGGTCAGACTCAAGCTCAAGTAGATAAGGATATCCACGTTTCTGACGCGAGCAAAGATTCTCAAACCAAAGATTTAATATCTAATGAGCTAGAAAAAGAAGTAAGTGGTATGCAAGCAAATGAAACCCAGTTCAAATGGAGTGATCTTGTAAAAACGGCAAATCGTACTAAACCAAAAACTGTTCGTCAGAAGAAGTGTAAAAACTTTATACACATAATAGATAGTGATTGCGAGATGCACGTTACTTACACGAGAAAAAATAAAAAGGACGAGAAAACTGCGAATGTAGACGATGCTCGACCAGTTTGCAGTAACCATATTGACAGCACATGCAAGGAATTTGTAGATATTATTGATAGCGACTGCACGATGAAAACTACTTTGACCAATTCAAAAAAGAGGAAAAGAAAGAAGAAAAGTGATGTACGACGCAGGGAATTTCACGATGAGAGTATGCTGTGTAAATATAGAAGCGATGAAAGCTTTGCATCATTGTCAAGTAATTTGGATAGTTCAAAAGGTGATATTAGTATTAGAATTAACGAAAATGGCGAAACAAAAAATGTATCGAATGAATTGGATGAAAGTATCGGTGATGGTCCAAAGAAAAAGAAGAAAAAGATAATCCAGCTTACATCAGAAGAATCTTTACCTCAGAAATTGGAAGCAAATTCAACAAGAAATATAGTATCCAATGGTTATGAGCTACAAGTAGTAGAAGAAAAATTGGAAGACGAAGTAATAGAAACATCTATACAAGAAGAAACTCAAGAGATTAGCGCAGATCATATAGTCAGTTTTAGTAGCAGTACATCCCCAAAATTCGAAACTAAAAAGAAAAGGCGAAAAGGGGAAAGGTACATAACCGACAGGCTTCAGGAAACGCAAGATACACAAACTATTGACAGAAACGGAACTGAAGCAATGGATATTGTTTCCATGCAGTTATTCGGCTCTGGGTTCAAAAAGAAAAAACGAAAGGGACAAAGCTCCCAAACTGATTTCCTTCATGACACGCAAAGCACTCAAAATAGTGATATGGATGTGCAAAATATAACTCAACCAATTGTAGTAGACAAAGTCAATTTTGATCCCAAGATATCGCCTGAGCTTAAAACCAAAAAGAAAAAACGAAACAGATATAGTTCTGCGTCCGAATCACAATATGTTCAAAACATTGATACAGAAGTACAAGAAGCAACCCACACGATTGAGGCAGAACATAACAAAAACTCTTCAGAGCTTGGAATTGAAAAGAAATATCGGAATAGTTCACAGTCTGAAATAATTGAAGAAACACAAGATACTCCAAGTATTGACATGGGAATACAAGTTATTGAGGAGGGGCATGAAAATGCTGTTTTCGACTCCAAAAGAACTCAAGAAATTGAGATAGAACATGAAGAAATTAATTCTCAGGGTAAAATATTCCCCGAGCTAAGAATGGAAAAGAAAAAACACCAAACTAAAATAATCCAAGAAATGCCAGAGGTTCCAAATGTTGTTATGGCGATTCAAAAAAGTTCGCAAGTGATTGAGGTAGAACATGGAAAAGTTGGTTCTCACCCCAGGACATCATCCGAGCCCAGTATCAGGAAGAAAAAACGAGACAGTTCAAAGTACGAAGAAGCACAAGATATACCGAATACTGGCACAGAAGCACAAGAAAAATCTCGATGTACTGAGGATAAAGAAGACAATTCTCATTTCAAAACATCGTCCGAACTGAGAATCAAAAAGAAAAAACGAAATAGTTCAATATCTGAAGTAGTTCAAGAAACACAAGATACTCAAGTCATTAATACAATGCTTGTTACCGGGGCACACAAACGGGCTCGAGAAGTTGATGTAGAACTTGAAAAATCTCATCACAAAAAGTCGTCTGCACCTGCAATCGAAAACAAAAAACAAAATGGTTCAATGTCTATTCAAGAGGTACCAGACACTCAGGTCATTAATACAACCTCTGATTCTCTGAAACTTGATACCCATACACAAGAAAGAGCTCTAGGGATTAATGTTGAAATAGAAAAACTCAATTCCCATTGCAAAGGATCGTCGGAACCTGCAATCGAAAAGAAAAAACGAAATAGTTCAAAGACGGAAATAGCTCATGAAACACAAGTTTCTCAAGGTTCTGATTCAGACACTAATACTATAATACTAGAAACTAACTCACGTGAACAAAACGAGCGACCTATTGAAATTGTCCTCAATGGAGTCCGTAGTTGTGCTAATTCTATACAGCCAGGGAAAAAACAATCTCATAGTTCTGAATGCGCATGCTTCGAGAATATACCTGAGAGAACTACGGTTAAAATTAACGAAGTCAAAAAAGGAGAAGCAAGGAAACTTAAAGAACACGGTGACAGTGAAGAATCGGGTCTTCCGATAGAAGCTAATATAACACAGAAAGCGAATGAGACATCGCCATACGGCAATAGAAACGTGCTTATTAAACAAATTAAATGCTGGAGAAAAGGACTTATTGATGAAAGTGTTGACACGAAATCGGTGATTGTTCATCCGAGGGTCAATGAACAAGATGATGATCGTAGCAACACAAAGGATTCAGCTACATCCAAGATAGGCGAAAATGGAAATGAATGTAATGAAAATGAAAGTCTTGTATCATTAAACCTGAGTGAGTCATTAGATGAAACAAGAGCAAATGATGAAGATGTGTCTAATGAAATCGAAGAAAAATCGTTTGTATCCGATTGTGACTCCGACTCTGAAAAAGAATTTGATCCAAAAAATCTGTCGTTGTCGGTACCTTTTCCGATTCCACCTATACACGAACATCTGGCAGATGCTAAGCAGGAGTTGGAAGCAGAAAAATTGGGCATCACTTTGAAGAAAGGCGCGTTCACTAAGGAAGAGGATAAACAGATTGTGGACAATTGGACATACTTCTGCAAAGTAAGTAGTTTACTATTTATAGCTCTCCTAAGCATATGGCCATACGCTGTTAATCAAAATTAAATTTTTAGACTTTGCAAGTTAGGTTATCAGTTATATCCTGTTCAACTATATATAGCGTTCATAATCAAACTTTCATCTCGGACTAAATATTATATAATACTAGACTAAACTCGCGGCTCCGCTCGCGTGGAAGTAGTGTAAAGTATAAATCATTAGTGTGAAGATTAGTATCGGAGAAAGAAATGCAACATCCAAAGTAATGCAATAGTTATTTGTGCAATGAACATTTTTTATCCAACATATTAATGCAACAATAAATTAATACCAATATTTCGCTTTCTGTATCCTCGGCAAGAGGCATGAAAATTTATTTGATCTGAAAATAACTTTAAAGGGCAAGGATATACTTCAACTTAAAATTGTCTGCAATTTGCATTTCAGGAATTAAAAATAGTGTTTCCAGTTAAAAATGAATTTGATCTTCAAATGACCTTGATGGTCATAGTTAAGGATATGGACATACTTGAACATTGTGGACACTGGACAAACATTAACATTTATTTATATACAGGGTGTAAAGCTGTGGGAGGATCAACGGTCAGATGATAGAGGGCCTCAATATCTCATTGGCATTTTTAACTAGTAGTCAGGAATTTTAAATTGCTCCAAAAATTAATTTAGAGATTAATTGTTATAGAACAATTATAATTTTAGTTAGACCTTATGTCGCACGATTTAATTTTGTTCATAGTGCTAGGCGGGGTCTTGTGTGCTTGCGAACTTGCTCGACTGTGTAGTCTACTGATTCACGCAACAAAGGGTTACTGTGCAATTCAGCTTGACTATAACGTAGCTGCGCCTGTCGTATGGTGTAGTCCCTTAAGTAAGGGATGTCGAGATCTCTGTGAAGAGAGATTATCTTGTATGGCCGAACTTTCTTGATCTACATAGCGTAAGGTAGACGTGCCGAAATGCAATTTGGAATTTGATTTTCAACGCTTCAAGAGATCTAGAGAAACCATTAACTAGCATATAATTAGGTCATTAGTAGTATTTGTTTCCGGTTTTTTTAACTAAACAGGATATGCTCAAGATTTGATTGTCCAGGAAAATTGGAGCAATTTAGTTGACCGGTCCAGTCACATCTATTCATAGATATCACTACATTTCCATTCAATACGTAACTTGATATTGCAGTTCCATGACCTGGAAGTCAAACCACAGGATTTCTTCAATCTCATATCTGTGCGCAAGTTGGAGAGGCTCAAGTTTCTACAGTTTTTAGCGCATAGATTAGATAACCGCAAAATGCATCGAGTTCATATGAGATTCAAAACGTTATTCAAGAAAAATTTGGTCCATAGAGGAAGGTATGTAAATTTTATATGAAATTAGGTTAATCACAAACGTTATTCACCATATTACTTCAGTATATCCTAACTTCTATTTAAGTAGCCCCTCGAATTAATTTTGTACTGGTAGCAATACTGAATCTGTTTAGAATCGTTTATTCTAATTGTATTCAAAAACTTTCCTGATTACTCTATGCAAAGCAACTCGCGCAAAAGCGTAATTTAAGATCTGACTGCTTGAATCTGTACCTATCTGTTTTCACGATCAAACTTAGCTTTTATGAATGTTATATGGTATTAGAATATTTCACACTTGCGTTTAATTAGTGCTAAATTGTTTTTTTGACATAATTGTGAGATAATTTCTACAGGCATTTCAACCAAAAAGTGTCAACTTTGTTAACGTTCATGGTTACCGCCATGTTAACATCGAAACGTCTTCAGGGCCAAGTATCGATCAGACAACAGTAAAACAATGACGCTGTCTTGAGGAGCGTTCTAAGGAGGTTTTAAATTTTCATTTCACAGTAGGCTGTAACAGTTGTCATCAATGTCAGAAAGATTTTTCTTTGCTGGCCGAATCTATTTAGCATCTTGATGATAAAATTGGGACGATTTGGGTTATTTATGCTAATAAAGAATGTGTTTGCTTCCTCTAATTATAGCGCAATCACAGAGAAGTAAGAAATATGCGCAATGAGTTACATCGAACTGCTCTGCTACTATTTCTTTTTAATGATCCATTTAAATTTGTCTAGTCCTCGATCAAATGCATCTTCTCCTCGCTAAACTGCTTTTTTTTTCATAGTCACACATGATAATTTATAATATAAAATTTGTGTATAGAATGTTCTTTGTGAAATAAATAATTCTTAGAGGTAGTGCGCATAATAAAACCATCAGGCATAGAAGCACAATCACTATTCCCCAGCATAATTCATCTTTATTCCTGCGCAGTTTCACATACAATGCTGCTAGTATCTATAACAACATTGATGCTAACTCTAAAGTGATGTCCTTAGACCAATTTAGGAAATGTAATGAGTAATAGTGGAATACACAATCCATAGTCATTACTTAATATTGGTGACTACCATTTGTCATGTGTATTCTTTTTCCCTCTTTTTCTTTTTTTTTATAACAATTCGTAATTTGTACCTTGCTCTATGTCATATAAGCTGCTTAGGATTTTATTTTTTGTTCTTCTCATGCCACCGTATACTTTGTATACCTTTACGCACTAGTGCTTAAGTGTGAGAATAGCTTAGCCTAGCTTTGCCACTAGTGTTAGAAAGTACCAGGTAATTAATAAAGACGAGTTTATTATTATTATTATTATAAATATTATAGTAGTTGAATCTACAACCAGCAGAGCAGTTTGGTGCAACTGGTTGCCTCTGTCCAGTTTTTAACTTCTCTGTGATTGTGCTGTAATTCGAGGAATCAAACATTAGTATTTTGCATTCTTTATTGATATTTAGCACAAATAAAGCAAATCGTCCCAATTTGAACATCAAAATGCCAAATAGATACGACGATCAAAGAAAAATATTTCTGACATTGATTACATCTTGGGATGACAACTGTTACAGCCTACTATGAAATGAAAATTTAAACCCTTCCTTGAACTTTACTCAATGAAGCATCATTGTTTCACAAGAAACCTCAAGGAAGGTATATAAATCTCATTCTAAATGTAAGTGTGAAAACTACAACATGGATCTTTGAACCAAACGTAATATCTCAGAAATAGTGATTGCTAGGAAGAAAAAGTGTAAGGACAATTTCTAGGGATGTCAGCATGATCTAAAATTTTTGTCTCAAGTACCTTTATGATAAAATTTGTAGTGCAACTGCGAGAATTCAAGAAACCCACTATTGCGAACCAATTTTCAGCTCTATGCTTATTATTGTAAGCTTCCGCTACTTTTGGGTTATCTTGATAGGTAGGGTAATTTTGAAACTAGACTGTTGATTATGAGTAAGTAATGCAAAGTAAGCTTTCCTGGTGGACAATAATCAAGTGCAAAAAATGGCGAAAAAACTTCACAGTGGAGAACTCCTTAATGTACACGATGTTACTTAATGACAAGCCTTATTACAAGTGCGCATCCTGAATCAAATTCTAGAACTAGAAGTGGTAGCTCGGGGAATGATACTCACCAAAAACTTACACCACTGGCTTGAAAAATATGTATTTTTTCGGATCAAGTAGCTAATACAACTTTTTTGTGTCTTGGTATCTCTTCGTACCTCACTTCGTTTTCGAGGACGTGTCGAAAAGTTGTTAAAATCAAATCAACTTTGCTCGTTGCTGGGGAATTTTGTTATGTTATAAATATAATTTGGCTTTATGTTTGCTAGCATTTTTCTTCTGCCAAAAAACAGTTTTTTTTAAGTTTGTTGCACTGTATCTTGGAAACCAAACTTCTTATAATATTTTTACACCCCGTATATTCTTATTTTCCAACATGCACATCATCATAATAGTCTATAAACTAAACAGGCTGGCCCAACGAAAAGGTCGCACCCCTATTTGTGACTCTCCTGGTACATTTTGGGAAAAACGCTCAGACAAGTCAGTTTTGATTTCTAGGGGGACGTCTTTTCATCTATAGCCGTACAATACAGGGTTGGATCAGTCAATAAGATATTGCGTTCAACTTTAGATTTTTAAATGGAAACCATCTTTTTTTTTAATTATTGGATTTTCCATTAAGTTTTTGGTAACTTTTGTATGATAAAGTTTATACCTATCTTCAATAGTTGTGAAGCTATTTGAGTTTATAATAAAATTCTAGAAATTGTGATAAGGGATTATAGTATATCAAAATAATAATAATCAATGTAGTTCCCATAGTAAGAAGACTATACTTTAAAATTAAACACAGGTCTCAGAGTATTAAAAAACAAAAGCAACTTACAGTTTGCACTCACATTAAAGTAAAAGTAAAAATTAATTTGCTATAAAGATTTAGGTCAATGTGGTAATAAGTGCTGAAAGTGGTGTACATTTACCTCAATGCCATCTTGTTGGTCATTTTCTATTATTTCGGTAATTCGTGGCTCTATTGTATTTTCTAAAATGTCCAAATACGTCTCGCCCATCAAGTTTCCAAGAATAAAGAAAGGTCCTAGAATATGTCTGCCCACACATTTATTTTTTTAGGATATTGCTAGTGTACCTCTCGAAACAAATGTGGATTCGAGTTACTCCAATATCGACAATTATGTCTATTTACAGCACCATGTAAATAGAACGTTCACTCATCCGAGAAACAAATATTAAATATCAGATTTGCATTCCATTATTATCAGTATTGTAGCGTTTTTATGGATTCCACAAAAAGAAATGCACTAATTTATTTAACTCGATAGATAGAACATTTATGTACAGTACACCCCTATTTATGTCTGCCTAATTCTTATGTCGCGCCATTGACTGGACTATACTCCATTCCGCTCTGCTACTCTACCGTACACCGCTTCCATCTCTCGGCTGTCGAGTTATATAGTCCGCATCGTGGACCGAGAACAGTCTGGCGTGCCACAAAGCGACAGTCAAGACTCTTCGAGGTGACTTCGCGTCGATCTAGAAGGCGAGTCACTGGCACGGTCCTCACAGACGTCGCCAAGCGGCTTGTGCGGTCGTGGTCCGCGTAAAAGCAGAGATCTGGCAAGTAGGAATGTCTCACAACAGATGGCGCCAACAGTACTATTTGTTATCGTCACAGTATTAAGTTAGTCGAGTTTTATTATAAACTGAAATAGCTTCACAACGATGGTAGTTATAAACTTCATTATACAAAAGTTACTAAAAAATTTCTATTTAAAAATCTAAAGTGAACGCAATATCATATTTTTGGATCACCCTGTATTGTACGGCTATAGATGAAAAGACGTCCCCCTAGAAATCAAAATTGACGTGTCGAATACTTAAGTTCGAGTTCTATATCCCTCTACCACCTATTCCTCAATGAATTTTCAAATATTAATTTTTTATCTTCCTTACCTTTTCTTCGTGTGTTTTAGAGTATCCTTTCAATAAATATGCTAAAATTCAGTTTATTTCAGATATACGGCAGAAGAGGATGCTAAAATTCTCAATTATTTAAAGAACACCAAGTCAACGACTCCTTACAAAGACCTCGCTGAAATATTCAATCGCACGAATTTATCTGTACAGAGACGTTATGAGACCCTGACGAAAGCGAAGAACACAGGAAAAGTGGAGTGGAATGTCCATTCTATGGCCAAATTTGTCGCTAAAATGGTTTGTACAATGTACCAATAATAGCGTGTCCCAGCCTATGAGCTGCAAACAAATTTTTGTTCTAATTGAGATATGCATACCTTCTATTTATTTTTTTCATTTGACTCTAACAACTCAAAAAATAAATATTGTTGCGAACGGCGAACGATAACCCGACTTTCGGTCGAACTTTGAATTTGAAAGTTAATAGGGAAACCCTGATGGATTTCAAAACCTAAGACTTAGTCGACAAATAAAACGCTGCTTTATTTACATCTTATATTTTTTAGATATTGACAGATTTCTCGACGAGTGTCTGACTTCATGGCCACATAATGATTATTTTCAGCACGCTAAGAATAAGGTGCAAACACTGAGAGCAGTTAACGCTACGGCAGAGACAGCGGTCAAGTTAATGCAAGACTTCAATGGCTTAATCACTGCCGATGATGAACAAAAACAATTTTTATTACGTTGCGTACAAGAGCTCACACAAACTATGAAAAGAAAATTTAGTAAATAATGTTCTTTCAATGATAAATATCTAAGAAACATAAGAATTAGGTTTTTAAATCCATACATTGTTTACCTATTAACTTTCAAATTCAAAGTTTGACCGATTATCGTTCCCGATCGCAATATTATTTATTTTTTGAGTTGTTAAAGTCAAATGGAAAAAATTAGAGGATATTGGTTTGAAAAAAAGGACTTTCATTTTTTTTGGGACGACCTAACCCATAATGCTAAACCACAATGATATTTATGCCATTTAAAAACATTAACAGTCTCCAGATCAAAAGTTGCGAGACTAATGCCCACATTTATAGTCGAAGCTTGAACGCTGTGTTTGCTTTATTTTTGAAAATTTAGAGATATTTGAAAACTGTGATGACAACAAACATGTTATGAGAGCTGTTACACCCTACTTCTTTTAATCGTGTCAAAGCATCAAAGTACAAAGAGTAAATTAGATAAAAAGTAACAAAACATGTTAAAAAAAAGTGAAGGAAATAAACAATACAGAAATATGTACGCTTAAGTATATATCTAAATTGGCTTTAAATGAACCGTGCTAAGACCAATAGCAAGCGACGTCAATTCCAGTTCATGTACGCTGTACAACTTAAACCATAACCAATATGACAATAGGAAAAATTGATCTACAGTAGCTGCTATAAACAGGTTCATAGAAACAGTAAAAGAATGTTTAGGGAATCAACTACTCTTGCTAGTGAATACTTTAGATCTTTCTAAAGCATTCGATTGAGTCCAACACAACATCTTAATAGAAAAACTAGAGTTTTATAACATTGAGATGGCAGGAATTAAGCAACTACAGTCATACCTCTTAATAGGAAACAAACAGTCAGGTATAATAACTGTATGTCTGATAAGAAAATGGTCCTCCATGGAGTTCCACAAGGGTCTGTTTTGGATCCCCTCCTCATTTTATTGTATGTCAACGACAGCACTAACATCTTATAATAACAAATTATTCTTGTATGCTGATGATACGAATATTGCCACCTCTAACACTTCTCCCCATGTTCTATGGTTGCTATGCAGATCTAACTTTGCTGATTGGTTTGAAGCGAATTTGTTAACTCTAAATATGGACACAATCAATAACTCAAAGTTTACGATGCCATCAACTAGAAACTTCCCCAACATGGGAAGTTCATGCTGATAGTGTTGTAAGTAAGCTATACAAAATATATTTCCTCATACGTAACCTGAAGGATCAAGTATCTCATAAAAACTTAATTACAAGTTACCATGCATACGTACATTCGAAAATGACATAGAGTTTTAATATGGGGGCACTCCTCTCATATGCAGAGTTTTTGCCGTTCAAAGGCGGTGTATACGCTACTTATCTGACCTAAGGTACAGAGATCCATGTAAATACGAATTCGTCAAATTAAACATCTCAACCCTACCATGTAGCTATATCCTGAATTGTCTGTTATACATCAGAAAGAACGTTACTGCCTATACTACCCATGGTTAAATACATCTGTACGACACTCGAAACAAAAGTAATAAATGTGCAGAACACCATCGCCTATACAGGAGCCGAAACGGCACCAACTTTTATGGAATGAAGTTCTTTAATAAGTTGCCACCTGTTGTAAAATCATTGGATGTTAACATTTTCTATAAAAAAAAAATAAAACGTTCCTCTTTAAAAAAGCGTTCTTGTCATTGGAGGAATTCCATGAATGATAATCTCTGTGATATGATATGGAATTTTATCATATCTATTTTTATTTACGTGCTATCTCTGTGTTTTTACGAACCTGACCTGTGTAAGCACCATAGTGTATGAAGGTATATTCTTTAATTCACCGGTTGAGCTACCGGTGCAACCTTTTAGCCAATTTTGCGTCCTTTAATTTTCGCTTGAACGACCGGTTGTACATCAAACTTGTCTTTATATTGATGGTGGATATGCTACCGGTGCCAACAGCATCCACCGACGTTCGGGCTCGGTTGATCCACGATATTCTAACCTATACATTTTATCAGTTTTTGAGAACTACAGTTTTGTGTGAAAAGATGGAAGAAGAAAAGATTGAAGTTATTCTACTGCATAGGAGTCGCGTGAAATTCAATGTTTTCAACACAATTTGAAATAAACAGAGCATCTGAAAGCAAGTGAATTTGTTTTGAATTATGCATATCGACGATCTCAAATCAATACCTCCTAAGTCCGAAAATGTCGATTTTCTGATTTTGTTCTGTTTTTATTCCTGTATGTGTACAGGAATTCTCTCAGAAAATCCATATCGATTGTTCTTATTCGGGAAGCATCGACGATCTCAAATCAATGGCCTCGTATTGATTTGAGACTGTCGATATCTGAACATTTCTTGGTTTTCTGATTTATAGTTCTTGTATTGATTCTCGGAGCGCAAATTCTCTCCGCTGGATAACTTCTTCATCCGAATCGCTTAACGAACGTTTCATGACAATACCAACTGCTGCGCACATTGCCATAATGATTTTAGATGATACATTTACGATAAAACAAAGGTTAGGTTTTGACAGCAACTTGAGGGCTAAAAATGATTCTTTTTATTAACGACCATTCAACGGAACCGGTTGCTGACGTCATCACATCAGCTATCAACCATAAGTTCACCCGATCCATCAGTGATGGAATCAACCGGTGAATTAGAGAATATACCTTTATTATCATTATTGAGGCACGTTCTTTAGAGACGCTTTTTCCGTGTCTAACCTCTGGGAAATATTGAATTTCCACTTGAGGTTCACTTAAGAGTTCGTTATTTTTTGCTTAAAATCCACGGGTTGATCAATCCTTAGTTGACACACAGCTCTCAAGAGTTTACTATAAACGAGGGCTAAGCTATCTTGCTACGAGCTCCTTCCCACTTCAGTTGGCCCAACTATTGAAATCTTAGTTTTTTCTTATCAAACACAAATAATAAAAATGTAGCAGGGTTATAGGTTTAAAATATTAACAATGAATAGTAGAAAACACCAACTTTATCACTCCCTAATCAAATTTGCAGCATAAAAATAGCACATGTTGCAATTACAGCATATCAACCTATTTTCATTTCAATGCAAAATAAGTCTATAACGCATAGGTGGCTGTGAAAAATAAAAGCCATGACAATTATTTTTATTAATCATAGCTGTTAGAATACGTTTAAAATAGCTTTGTTTAGTTAAGGTATTCAAAATGGGTAGAGGAAAGGTTATTAGTGAGAAAATTCGGTTACTGATAGTTACATTTTTTAATTCTGGGAAATCAAACTCAGAAATTGCAACTTTGTTAGACTTATCGCGATACAGTGTGAGAAATATTGTTAGAAGATATAACGTAACTGGTTCAGTTAATATTAAGCCACAATATGTGAAAAAAGTAATATCACAAATGCCGACCGAAGAGCATGAACAAGAATAATCGTGAAAAACAGGCGTGTCAATTATTTAGAATTAAGTGCTCTGTGGAGTGACACTGTTGGAAGGAGAATTTCGAGGTCCACAACTCATAGAGAGGCCCACAAACTGGGATTTAGCACTTGCAAGGTAAGTTTTCTTATAAAAAAAAGTGAAGTAAAAACCCTAAAGTTGCACAACTTGTTTATAGGCCAAAGAAGAGCCACTATTAACTCCACTGCAAAAGAAAAATCGGCTTAGATGGGCTAAAGAACATAGACAATGAACATCTCGACAATGGTGTGCAATACAATGGAGTGATGAGGCACGATTCGAAGTTTGTGTTGGTGACAGTCGCAGTTCAAACAAATATTTGGCAATTTTAGAAGAATCGCTTTTACCAGGTTCTACGACAACATCCTGCTCGTACAATCACCGACCCGAGCTTCAAGAAATATGGGATTGTTTTACACCAAATTATTGCCAAAACTTGGTTAACACTATGCCCCAAAGAATTTCAGCCATAATAAAAAATAAAGATGATGTTACCCAATGGTAATCTTTCAATTGTTGCTTTGTTAACTTCGCGCATTGTTTATTTGTTCAGATGTTCTATTAGTTATAGGTCTAAGTGATTTCAAATATGTATTTTTTACGACTAGAGTGTACCTAATATGTTTTTGAGAAAATAAATTTTTTAGAAGTAAATAGTTTCGTCATGTTATAAAGGCATATTTTGGTACAAATCTTGAAGTGGACCAACTGAAGTGGGAAGGGGCTCTTACACCAGGAACATCGAATATGTTTATTTTAATAGTAACGTACCGATTTATTTTAATTGCAGATGAGAATGAAAAAACTAAAATCAATTAGCGATTTGAAAGAGGTCGAACTAACGACAAAGCAGTGGAAAAAGTTATCGAAAAAGTTGGATTATATACCCATAGAAAGGCTGAGACGGGCATGGAAAGTTACCATTTATCCCAGACTTTTTGCAACAGCTAATACAGTGGATGTGAAGAAGGATATTATCACAAAGTAAGTTTTTTTATTCCAATTGATGGATGTTTTGATAAAAAAATGTTATTCAATCAACAATGCCTGGAACATTGCTATCATCTTCTCTTTTCTTGACCCTAGACATTCAGATCAATTGTCTTTGGAACTTGCTAACTGTTAACAAGATTGCCTGTAAGAACTGTATTCTGATTCTTTCGATTCTTAGTCAAAATGATGTGCTACAAGACCCCCGTTTTCAAATAATTTGTTTTCCAAGATGGCGCCCAGCGGCCATTTTGACATTTTCATCTGTCAATTTTACTATAAAACATGGTATCCACGTATCAATTTCATTACCTCAAGTTTTAATTTTTTGAATTGATCCGTTCAAAAAATCAAAGGGGAGGGGGACATTAAAGAAAAACACTGTATATTAATTTTTCATAGATAATCAGCAAGGCATACACGATTCATGTTGCTTTAAATTATCAATGCACCTTAATGCAGATGTCTAAACTTCAAACACTTCCTTAATATGTCCAAACTAAAAGTCCATAAGGTAGAATAGAATCAAAAAGCGTAACTGTAAGTGGAGCTATTTCATTGACGGTATATTTTATTTGCTTTATGGCATAAATTGCCCTATTCCATTTATAACATAAAATGTTAACATTATGCAACAGACTACAACACCCATAAATTTAGTTTTAGTCGTTTCCCCAAACGCAATGACCGGTTTTGTTTCAAAACAAAGAGTTTCAGTTTTTACTTCATTCAGAACTAGCTGATTTGTGACAACCACGCCTATCCCGATCCAGATGGACGGTACTACGGGTAAGGCAGAGAAAGGATAGCCTAATTGTACCTACCCGTTTGGTGGACTTGATCCGTTCAATTTTTCTAAATTTAACATGCTGGTACCGTCCGTCCAACCAAAGACAATCAACTACAAACAGCTGTTTCTTGGTTTTTTGGGACCTCATCAGCATGGTCTATACTATCCTCTATCCAGGATATAAGTTCTATGGCGCTATCTTACTTCGTTACATAGGAAGTGTAGAGTAAACCTAGTTGACGCTATTTTTTTCACTGCAACTACATTGTTTTTCAGTTAGCATTTTCCAAAATCCTGGGCATTAAAATAATAAGTCTCATCATTAATGAACATTTCTAGGCTGTACGAAAGGGATGTTACTGATTGGAAAACGATCGATTGGAAAAGTTTATCTAACGAGTATAAAGGGTATACCGCTCAGAAACTATGTACGATGTTCAGGCAAACAATCTTTCATCATGTTCCTAAGGAGATACGAGGAGATGCCCGAGGTAATTATAGCAACGTCATATAACTCTAAAATTGCGATTTATATCTATAAAATGTGTAGTTATTTTACACAGATATACTAAGTGACATAAATTGTAACACCCAGAATTATTTATTGAATTTTGATAAAAAACTTATTTGGTATCATGGAATTATACGCTGATAAAATGTTGAAGGCATTCCGAGCCGTATTTTTTTGTAAAGGCTTTTTTCTTATATCAAGATTCGAACAATATGAACATGTTTACTTAATATTCAGTTATTTTTCTGTGTTGGTTCCATTTGTTTCATTGCATCATCGTGCCTAGAGTTCGCAGACGCGCTAATTTCAATCAACTTGCCGAGTTTGAGAGGGGTCGGATAACCAGGATTTTCTTTTAGAGAAATCGCTAATTGTTTAGATTCTGTTTGGGCACATATTTTGGCCGTGTGACAGTAAAGCGGAGACGTGGTGAAAGACTAATATTCCATCGAACGCCATATTCAACGCACTGAGGGTGTTATGGTATGGGGTGACATTGCTTACGGCAGTAGGTCGAGGTAGCATGACTGCCCAGCACTATATCCACGAAGTTTTACAACCAAATCTGCTTCCCTTTTTAGAAGCATTGCAAGTTCCACTTCTTCAGAAGGACAATGCACGACCTCATGTCGCACGTGTTAGTTTAGACTTTTCAGAAGCATCCGGAGTAAATCTGTGGCCCTCGATCGCAACACCTTTCCCCCATCGAACATGTATGGGATATCATGGGAAGAAGGTTGCAAAATTCACCGCACCCCCAAACAAACGTTGGGCTCTGCGAAACCAATTTCAGATGACTTGGGATTCAGTACACCAAGAAAACATCAATCACCTAATCCAATCAATGCCGCGACGACTTAACGAATGTGTTGCGAACAGAGGAGCTTTACCACGCTATTAACATTAAGGTGGGATATCTCAGATATTTTGCGAAATTTCGAGTTACTTTCTATTTATCAGTACACACTCCTAGTCGGTGTTGCATTTTCTATGTCATATAATTTGATTGTGAATCAAGTAAGTCGATGAAGGGATACATAGGTTAAAGTTGTGATGATTAAGGTATTCCCAAAGATATCCAACCAAATGCTGTATTCAGCGTTCACTTACAATTTCCATAGTGACGCCGATGTTGTAAAGTAGTAATTCTTTTTTTCTTCTCAACGATGGAAGAGAAAATCGCATAACATAGCGCAATAGTCCGAAATGTAGCAACACTGTCACCTGAAGACATTCTGGTGGAATTTCTTGCAAATAACCCCAACAATAGATAAGTAAGTGGTTCAGGCGCATTCAGGAAATGACAGCAGCCAGCTGAATCACACTTACAGCGCTGTCACACCGCTGATATTGCATGAACTACCTTTACCTGTTTTGTTTGTTCAAATAAAACTGCACAAGATTTTCCAGTCTCCCGATAACGGAAGTATTTTTGAAACTAATATAAGTAATTCAGTGGCATTGAACATCGTCTAATCAGAATTGTTGAATTAAGTTAAACATGTAGTTTAACGACAGAAAAACATTTGTAACAGGCGCCATATTTTATATTACGTGGCTTGAATTGTCTTGTTCCTAAAATCAATCATCTAAAGATCTATGAATGTTTCCATTTGAGGTTTCATTTCAATGTCTGTATACAGCGAAATCTCCTTTGGGCGGACGTCAACGGGACCGACTGAAAGTATCCGTTCAAGAGCGGTGTCCGTATAAAAGAAATACAACAAAAAATGTGTTTTTAATGAAAACTGAATATATTAAAGAAACTGGACATTTAAAACGTATATTTATATAAATGTTTTTAAAATAAACAAAAAACTCTAAACTTAATAAGAACAGGTTCTATTAGTTGTTTACAAAGTATGTACATATGAAAAATTTAATATGTGTACTCGTATGTACACAAAACACAAAACAATGAAATAAAAAGTAACTTTAAGGACGCAAAATCATTGTCGTTTGTCTCCTCTTTTTGCTTGAAATCGTATTTCTAATTTAGAAATAAAGACTGTATCTCTCTATTTTCGATAAAACTTTTGAGCTGCTTGGTCAGAGTAATACCTTTACCATAATTTGGAATAGCTCCTGTTGGTAGTGGAACCTCATCGACATCAGAATCTTCGGAAAGTTTTTGTATTGCAACTAGATTTTCAATCTCTTGGCATGAATCTAGCTCTCGAACATACAAACTTTCATCTAGGTTCAAAAAATCGTAAAGGTTTTCATTATCCGTCAATTTCAATAAATTCTTATTTTTGGGGATATCTGAAAGTACATTAAGTGGTAAGTCATCTTCTGGGTCAGGTGTATCAGCTTCATTTAACTGGTCCTTTCATGCTTAAATCCTGGTTTGCGGAAGCAATTTTGAACTGTTTCTTTGGTTACTTGGTCCAAACGTTTTTTGCTAAATAAACTGCATCCAATGACGTAATTTTCTTTATTAACTCAAAAGCTGTACCAGCAGTTTCAATGTTTACCAGCAGGTGTTTGAATATTAGTCTTCGGTAATAAGTTTTAAGGCTCTTTATAATCGCTTGGTCAACTGGTTGACAAGATGATGTACAATTAGGGGGCAAAATAAGATTTTTATATATTATACGTCTTTTGGATTAGATCCCGTTTTGTCTAAAAATAAAATGTTTCTTTTTTCTTTAACCATTTTCCAATCTAGGTCTTGCAACCACTAATTTGTTTTGTCATCCAAACTTTCTTATTGCATTTCCAAGTTACAGACAGGTCATTTATGTTGATATGGGTTTAGCTACCTTACCAATGACTAGAACTTTTTCTTTATCGCCCGCCATATTTACACAGTTCAAAATTGTAAACCTCTCTTTGGGATACTTACCCCCAACACATTTGTCCTTCTTTAATGTGAGCATTTTGTCGGGTAGAGCCCTAAAATACAAACCTGTCTCTACGGCATTATAGATGTGTCTCGGTGAACAGCCCTTAATCAAAGCAGAAAAATTATCCAAAAAAACAATAACTAAAGCTCCTTCTCCCGGAATTGCTTTAAAACTTATATTGTGGCAAATTCTAAATTTATTGAGCCAACCAGAGAAAGCACTGAATGTAGAATGTCCCAGAGAATCGGCTATTTCTTTTCCTTTGCATCGTATTAGCGGACCTAAAAAAAATATAAGTTTTGCGTTTTTTACACGACAAACCTATTGATAATCTCACTCTTTTTATTTATTTTAGAATTGCTATGTAAAGAAGAGCAACGCATTAATACAAAAAACCTTATCTAAAAAAATAATATGCATACATACCTGTCAAAGGAATCCCCTTATGACGAGCTGCTATAAACCAGTCATCACACAATTTGTCAATTTTTGCAAATTGCTGCTCTTGTTTGTTTGTTTAAGATTTATTTAGCATGATTGCTACAATTACATTCTTCTAAAAAACTAAAAAATTTGCATCTCTATGAATTTTCATTGTACATGAAATATTCTTTTAATTTTCTTTTAAATATCTTTAAATTACAAGTAGACTTTATATCATTATTTATTTTATGAAATTCAAGTAATCCTTTCTGAAATATTGATTTGCTAGTTAAATTACTATTGCAATTTTGTAAATGAAAATGTATATTTCCTCTTGTATAATAATTGTGGTAAAGATTATTAAATCTGCAGATTGTATTTTTCCAATATTAAAACGGTTGGAAGTTCCTTACACTAACTTGTCCTTATTGTGAACTTCAACAATCTCAACTTCTTTTAAGCGTCAGAATTTTTCTGCCATTTCTACAATGAATGTGTCGTCGACTGTGTCTTTTTCGCGTAGATGTCAGACCAATACTGAATGGAAATTTAATCGAAAGGTATCCCATAAGAATAAGAACCGAAGATGAGAACTCAACTGAAAAAATAAGACAAGGCGTTTCTTTTTATTTTGTTTTTTGTCCAGTTAGAAGAATATTTTCTTGTGTTCGCGTCCGTTCAAGAGAATGTCCGTCCAAGAGAGGGTTAATACAATTCAAATTATATGAAGGTCGGTCGGGACCATGAGAAACTGTCCGTTTGGTGCTTTGTTACAAATCCATTGTAACTGGGAACCATGGGACACTTACCATCCAATCATTTCACCGAATAGTGGTTCGTAAACCTGTGAAGACATTCCCTGATTAGTTGGTCATTCACATGTTTTTGTAATGGGTCCATCCTGAGAGCACCTCAGCTATCAAAACATTTCTATCTAATATATTTCAAAAATAAAATTATTTGATACCAAAAGACCTAGTTGTTGTGGCTTAGTTTGATCAAATTTGACATCTTATTTTTCTTTTTACAGAGTGCTTATCCTACCTGAAGCATCACGTATTAAATAAACTGAAGGGATCACACAGCATAAAGAGATTGATAGCTGAGATGTCTGAAGAATCTTCAGGAAGTGGGGATGATACTGAATAGCAGATAAAATAGATGCGTAAGCGTTCAGGTTTCCTTGTGATATTAAGTATTAAGAGTTTTTAACCCAGTAATAAATAAGTTTTATTTTTTACGAAATATGTTATTTGTGCGATGTCCCTTCTCTCCTTTTAATATATCCACTACGTTTGCATGTGGGATTCAGTTCAACCGATACGATTCCGGCATTGAATGCTGCATGTCGACACAATAAAATTAGGACTGAGGTACATACAGGGTGACCCAACGAAAGGGTCGCACCCCTCAAATGTGCCTCTCCTGAAAAAACGCTCGGACACTTCGATTTTGATTTCTAGGGGGACGTCTTTTTATCTATAGCATTGTACATACATGGTGATCCAAAAATAAGATATGGCGTTACACCAAGTTTTTTAAATGGTTACCCCCATTTTTTTAATTCCTAGATTTTCCATGGAGTTTTTAGTAATTCTTGTATAATAAAGTTTATACCTATCATTAATCATTGTGAAGCTATTTGGGTTTATAATAAAATTCCACAACTTAATACTGATCATAATGGAATGCACGGCAAAAAATAATAATCATGGAAACCAGCAACAACATTTAGCACCAGTCAGCGTTATCGTATGTGATAGAAAGACTTTGTATTTCATTTCAAATTATTAGGTTACCTACCTAGTTGTGATAAATATTGAGCAATGACTTATTCTAGAGAAAGTGTAGAAATAACAAAACTGTATTACCAAAATGAGAGCATTGCAAGAACTACTGCCTGGTTGTTTAAAGCGTTCGACCCAGACAAAAATATTAAGGATGAGTATGTGGCTAAGTTGATAAGAAAATTTGAAGAAACTGGATTTGTGTCTATATTCGCAGTAATCGCCATCGAGAAAACCGACCGATTAGAAATGAAGTTGCAGAAAGAGCGGTTTTGGGACATGAAGCACTTGACAACACCCAAAGCGCTCGTGCACTGGCTACTTCTTCAGGATTTACACGCTCAACAATACAAAGGATTTTGAAAGATGATAAATTTCACCCGTACAATATAAAACTTGCCCATGTGCTTAATGAAGACGATTTTGATAGAAGGTTGGAGTTTTTCGAATTAATCTCCCAACGTTTAATTAACAATGCAAATCTGTTACTTAATATTTAGTTCTCGGATGAGTGTACGTTCTATTTACATGGTGGCGTAAATAGACATAATTGTCGATATTGGAGTGACTCGCATCCACATTTGTTTCAATCCTCCACTGCGACTCTTTGGTCCATTGTGGCTCACACCTATTTATATTTGTTACCTATAATTGCCTTAGCTTGGGTTAACCGTGCTAGTCCCTCCCAGTAGTGATTGATCTTTATGTCCATCTCTGCAGAGATTATTTGTTTAGCCGTATTGTATGCGCTCCCAATCGCTCGCTCAGGCCCTATGGAGGGTATGCTAGCCCCACTCTTTGCCACAGTCTCAGCAGTCTCGTTTCCCTCTAGACCTGTGTGTCCTGGTATCCATATGAGACGGACTTCATTTCCTTCCCCTATGCTACCGAGAGCTTCTTTGCAATTCCACACTAATTTCGATGTCGAGTAGGTGGAGTCAAGTGCTTTAAGTGCGTCTTGACTATCTGAAAAAATAATTATAGTTCTGTGCCTCAGTTGTCGTTCTGCGATCATTCTGGCACCCAGTTCTATAGCATATAGCTCTGCCTGGAAGATCGATGCTCAGGTTCCTAAACTAACAGATTTTTTAATATTTAGCTTCGGCACGAAGATACCTGCTCCAACACCTACCTCGGTCTTGGAGCCATCTGTGGATGCACAGATATCTTTCGTTATCAGGTTAACTTACTGTTCCCACTCATTCCTGTGTGTAATTGTCACTGAGTAGGGTTTAGCGTATCTTGTTATCTTTGGCATTATATCAGAAGGCATTCCCAGACTGTGGTGATTTTGTAAGTCCACCAGCATGTCCGTCTCCTCTATAGTGATATTGTCCATTATAACATGCCATATTACGTAGTCTATAAGATGTTCTTCTTGCCTCGCCTTCCAGATATATGTGCATGGGGGGTAAATTAAGAAGAACCTCCATAGCTGCAGTTGGTGTGGTACGAAAGGTGATCAACATACAAGCTTCTCTCTGTATTGCGCTCAGTTTGGCTTGAACAGTTTTTTGTGCTCCCTTGCGCCACCAAGCTACAGATCCATAGGTTATCATAGGTCTAATAACCATGGTATAAAGCCAAAACATTTGCTTAGGCTTCATTCCCCAGTTGCTTCCACAGACCCTTCGGCAGTTCCATAGCGAGATCCTTGCCTTCTTGACTGCTTTCACATGCGAATTCCAGTTTAGTGTTTTATCTAAGATTATTCCTAGACATTTCGTCTCTTTTGCAAACGGTACATTTTCACCTTGGATTGTTAGAGGTTTAATCCCATCCAGTTTTCTTTTTCTGGTGAAAGGTACGATGACCATTATTTGCGGGTTGATTGACATTCCTTCCTTTTCGCACCAATCCGCTATTGCGGTTAAGACCTCCTGGAGTATTCCCCAGATGTCCCTCAGACTAGGACTAGATCGTCTGCATATGCTTGAACCTCCTCCTCCCCAAGGCGAATAATGGCAATCAGATTATCTACTAGGACCGACCACAAAAGGGGAGATCAGAGGATTCACACCCCTGGAGGAGATTGATTGATAGAGGGATTCTGGTAAGGCATTATTAAATGCTCCCTTTCTCTAAAAAGGCAGGTATGGCAATTTCCTTATTTTCCAAGGACGCTTTGATGGTCGCAACCAAGTTGTGGAGAGCACGGTCTGTTTTTTTTTGACATTATGTAGGTTTTTCTACAAGACATTAACTTAGCACTTAGTTGTACGTGTTGCCTAAACGTCATGAGTTTTGTTAACAATCTTTGGGTCTGATGTGATGTAAAATCTGCTTCTGAGTTGGCATTACTGGAGGTCTAAGCTGTAAGTTGTATGCGTTGATGATAATTACATTGGGTTCGTGTCTCAAATACACTTAATTGAGATTCAAAGCTAGTTGCGCATTCACTTTTTCTTATCCATTCTGGAAATTACATATACAAACATGCTAACAGTAATTACACACAACGCGGGAGCGGTGATGATTTCAGGTAATTCTCCTCAGTTTTTCGTAATTTATAACTTTGAACATAACCTCGCTTCAGGAAGCACAACATAAAAATAACACGTCGGGCACAGCCAATAGGTATACTCCATTTGCAGCATATTCAGTAATGATTTTCTCACACAGCAAATATCACAGATTTTAAACACATGCAGACCAATACACATAATCATCCAGATGCGATCTGGCTATTCAACCAACTTTCTTCTCAGAGATAAAAACTACAGACAAGAACCATTTGGTCAAACATATGCAACCAATAATGCGTTTAGTTTAGTTGAGTGATTCCTTCTTAGATGGACGTTCACAACGATCCTAGAGCAAACGTGGAATGACTGCTTGCGCCCTAAAAACTACCTAGTCTGCAAGTTGACATATAGGTTTTTTTTTTGACGTTTTGTAGGTTTTTTACATATACCCGTGCCGGTGAAGGCCGGGCGAGACGTACTTGGACAGTCAGAAAATACAATAAAGTTACGAATGATGAAATGATGAAAATTACATTCATTTCCAACAAGATTGTGTACCGCCGCACTATATGGCTCCGTAAGTCAGTTTTTGGACACCCATTTCCCTAATCAGTGGATCGGCAGACGAAGCCCCATCGAGTGGCCGCCGAGATCTCAGGACCTTTAGATTACTTTTTTGGGGGGCATTTGAAAAGTAAAGTTTTTAGTACGAAGCCAGATGCCATTCAAGATCTTCGTTAGCGGGTTACGGCTGAACGTAGACAAATAACTCAAGACATGCTTGAAAATATCAGAACTATACTAAGTGACATATAAATCCGAACACCCAGTTTAAATGGTTTTATCTTAATAAAATTTTGTATAAGAACTTAATGAAGCATAATAAGTAAATGATAAAAATCGTGCGTGCCTAAACAAAATCGAGACTCGTCACTAAAGACAATACTGTTCCATTCCTGATCCCAGAGTGACCGTTGTCTGCACCACTCAAGGCGATTACGTCGGTGTAAGGGTTAGAAGGCGACGTGGTGAAAGGAGGAATCCACAGTTTTTTGTTGAAAGACATGTTCATCACACAGTTGGAGTTATGGTTTGGGGTGCTATAGCTTATGGTTCCAGGTCACCTTTAATCTTCATCAGAGGTAACATGAACGCGCAGCGTTATATCCACGAAGTTCTAGAACCCCATCTTTTACCCTATCTTGACACCCTGGCAGATCCAACTTTCCAACAAGATAATGCCCGACCGCATGTTGCAAGAGTCACAATAGACTTCTTTCAACATAATGATGTCACATTGTTACCATGGCCACCAAGATCTCCCGACTTATCCCCAATTGAGCACGTGTGGGATATGATGGGTAGGAGATTGCTCAATTTGCAACGTCCTCCTCAGACTCTAGAAGCACTTCGAGAGGAGTTGGTGGTTGCCTGGAATGAGATACCACAGGAGGACATTGACCACCTGATCAGAAGCATGCGTAGGCGCGTTGGAGAATGCGTAGCACATCAGGGTGCATCCACACATTATTAAAGGTCAAAGGGCTTTAAAGCAGTGCAATCATTTTGAAATTTTTATCATTTACTTATTATGCTTCATTAAGTACTTATACAAAATTTTATTAAAATAAAACCATTTAAACTGGGTGTTCGGATTTATATGTCACTTAGTATATATTGATTATAATTTTTACGATGTAATTAATCCTTTATCACACTTTCTAGAATTGTATTATAAACTCAAATAGCTTTACAACGATTGAAGTTAGGTATAAGCTTTATTATATATATGTTATACAAGAGTTACTAAAAACTTCTTGGAAAATCTAAACATTGAAAAAATGGGGGTTTCCATTTAAAAATATAAAGAGTAACGCAATATCTTATTCTTGGATCACCCTGTATTGTACGGCTGTAGATGCCCCCCTATAAATCAAAATTGACCTGTTCGAGCGTTTTCCCCACAATATACCAGGAGAGTCGCAAGTAGGGGTGCGACCTTTTCATTGGAATCAGCGTATGCAGAAACGACACATGTCCATTTTTGTACAAAATGGGGTTATACCGGAAATCACAAATATAGAGATATTCACGTCGAACTACGAAGAAATAACACGTGTCCGTGTTATATTCAAGAGAAAACGATGTGTAGCTTGGACAATAGTCTGCAGAAACAGCACATGTCCAGGACATGTGCTGTTTCTGCGGAACAGATTATGTCGGTAGCGGTCTTCTTGGTCATGCGCATCTACCGCAAATGATTTTCTCCTTGTCTAATCGCTTGCATCAAAAAATGTGAGAGAACATTATTTTGGTAAAAAATAGAATTTGCTTATTTTATTTTTTTCTGATCTCGTCAGTAGTTGTTTTGTGGTCCGCTGTAGTGTTTACTAGTACGCGCTGGATTCCACTGAAAACGAAAGTTCTTCCCATCGAAAGAAGAGGGCAAATCCTGATTGCTACCAAAGAAGCATTATTAAAAAGGCACGTGTAAAAGGCGAACCTTATAAAAACTACAAGGGTAATAATATTCCTGGCAAAATACTTGACTCCGCTTGCAGGTAACTCTAGAACGGCTTTTTACTTCTGTTTGCCTTCTGAAAAATGTTTTATCGTTTAGTTGTCGAGCGAAATGTTTTGAAAAATTCTCCAACGAAGAACTGCAATCAAATATGGTGCGCTTTATTTCTCTTGAATCTAAGGATCAACAGGACAACTTTCTGCAAGGACTGATAGAGGTTCGAAGTATATAGCGGCGGCGCGCTAGGGTTGAGGTGGGAACTAAAGCAAAATCCAATACCTTTAAATACTACACATTCAAAGATTCAGACAACATTGAAGTTTGTTTGAAAGCATTTATCTCAGTCTATGGTATAACTTTGGGTCGAGTTAGAAGACTTAAAGATCTTGCCGTGCTAGGAAAATCCCCTAGAGACTTACGTGGAAAAAATCCAAGTGGTAATAAACTCGGCGAAGAAGTTCAGTTTGCTGTTCGAGAACACATTCAGTCGTTTCCCGTTAAATTAAGCCATTATGCAAATCGAGAAGTTAAGTACTTAGTGAGCTGAATTTAAAGATTATGTACGACTTATTTAAGGAAAAATACCCCACATTGAAAGTCAGCTACCCATATTACACGACGTATTTTCGAGAAAATTTTTCTTTGAGATTCGGACGCCCTCAATTTGATATGTGTGCAACATGTGAGACTTTAGGCAACAAAATAAAAAAACACGCACTTAAATTATACTGCCAAACGAGCAGCAGTTGCAGAGCTGCTAGTCCATAAACGGCGAACTAAAAAATTTTATGCAAAACTGAAAAGCGAGTCTAATGAACCTTGTGATTCAAAAAATATTCTAGCTTTAGCTTTCGACTTTATGCAAAATGTTCAGCTGCCAAAAACATCTGTAGGTGATGTTTTTTATTACCAGCAACTGACCATTTCGGTGTTTTGTATACATAATATTAAGGAAAAGACTGCACGAATGTATATATATCACGAAGGGCAAGCGAAGAAAACTGGCAACGAGATTTGCTCTCTTCTTTTGGATTACCTTAAGTATGTTCCCAGAAATAATATAAATGAGATCCACTTATACAGTGACAACTGCTATGGACAAAATAAGAATCACACTTTGGTTCGCATGCTTCTTGCACTGACAGATAGTGGCCAGTTTTCCAAAATCGTACACTATTTTCCTATAAGAGGTCACTCTTTCCTTCCCTGCGATAGAGACTTTGCTATTGTGAAGAGAAAACTAAAAAAACATGACAGAATCTCCACGGTTCATCAACTAACCGAATTGATTGTAATGAGCAGCAAGTCGAATAAATCTACAGTTAAAGAAGTAAAAACAGAAGATATTATAAACTTTAAAGAGTGGTGGCCAAAACTATACAAAAAAAAGGTAATATCTGAGGAAACTTCTTCCAATATTACACCACGTAAGTTCAAGGTCCATTTCAATATAAGTACCTATTCACAATTTAGTTACGACACACAAAGAAAGGGTCGCGTCGAGGCTTCGCAATTCATAGACGGAGCTTTCCAACACACATTCAAACTCCAACAGTCAGGGAAGACTGCAGTAGCATTACCTTCTCAACAGGCCTATCCATTGGGAAAAGTTCCTATAAAGATGACAAAAATGGAACACATAAGAAAATGTGCAGCGTTTGTAGAAGATCAATATCAAGAATTCTATACTTCAATACTTAGTTGGCCAACTACTTCCAATTAGAAATTACATGTTTTTTTTTCAATTTGTAATAAATAATCACGTTCCATTAAACAAAAGTATTTCAATTTCATCCTACGCTATGCAGAAAGCGCACATGTCCAATTCTTTAGAAGGCTGTAGAAACTTTTTCTTTTCATTTTGAACAAAATTAAGTATTAGAAGATATTACAGCCGTCTTAAACTATGATTCAACCGTTAAACACAGGGCGCATTTATTTCAACAAATGATATAATGTTTTTTCCATTTCCTCGAAAATTACTTTTTTGGACATGTGTCGTTTCTACAAACGCCGATTCATTGAGTAGTGTTCGATGTGATGGAATAGTGGTTGTTATTGGGGAACAAAGAAAATAGCCCGGGAATAGTCGTAGTCTAAAGATTTAAAGAAAATAGTACAGAGAAGTTAATTTTGCAAATATATTAGGCAAACACCTAGTTGGTGTGTTGGTTGATAGTGCGGAAGAAGATCATTCAACAAACTAATTAAATACAAACTGAATTCACGATATTTGATAGCGTGATGTGACGCGCACGGGGATCAACACGGAACAGGACTAGCGACTGATGTAGTACCCGGTACCGTCGGGGGGGTGGAACTAGCCAGAATAGCAACGACGCGACGAAGGGATTCATCGTTAAACAAGAGGGTTGTTTCATGGTGCTCCCTGTATTGGAGTCACCACAACCTGGAACGGAAGTAGTCGTAATCAGGAGATTAATTAAATCGTCCGGTGAAATTTCATTACAGAAACTGTTGGCAACAAGGCTTTGCTGTCACGTGCTCATCTGGAAATTCATCTAAAAGATTCATATGCTGGGAATGACTGTTTGAGCAAGATTTTATTATATTTAAAAAAAATAATATTATACATTTTCAAATCTCCATTCAACGTTGAAAACACAAATTCATTAATCTAATTGAGATTTCCCTATTGAATAAAACACACAAATCCAGCATACCGCATACTACCCGACATCCCGACAACATCGAGTCCTTCACAGCACAAATACCGCGCATATAAATACCACGTTGCCAAGTGAATTTTGGTTTTAGAGGCACTCCTAGACCAATTAGAAATCATGTGGTATATGGAAAAAATATTGTATACTAAACCTAATGTGGTCAAAAGCATAGGTACAATTTAAAATGCAGAGGTGATCTAATTTAACCACATGATTAGATGCATAACATTCATGCATCTAAAGTGTACGAGGATTATAGAAATACCTAGCATAGCAGCCGACTACAAGTTTCAAAATTAAATGACACATTTTGAGTATTCCGCAAATATTTCAAAGACTTCCGAAAAAATAATTTTGATTTGTGCATGTGATTTCTAAAAAGTATGTTACCAGATACCAGTTTGAGTCTTGATAATGAAATAATAATAATAACGTGTGCGTGTAACGGCAGTACAGCGTTAAAGCTGCTTTATGACTGTTGACATATTTTTAAAGCGATATCAATCAAAAGTCAGGCTTTAGCGCTGTAATGTCGTTAGACCCGCACAATAACAGCAACAGTGTGGTTTAAAAAAAACATCACTGATATTATGGTTTACTGTCGCTGGATGCGAAGGGCAAACGATAGTACAAATCTTGAAATGTAAGTGGATCTGAAGACGCTGCAACATTTTGGCGACGTACAAAGGAAGCACACGTGCACCGTCAGGTGCGGCGCGGATAACGGAAAGGAGGCGAGTTGGGAACTGTTTGAAATTCACGGATTACGAAAGATGGATCACCACGCATTGGATAGTATGTCCCATAAACAGCATAATTTATGTGCTGGACACAGAAAGAGAGTGAAAAATGTTTATGACCCATTCCGAATACGATTTCCAGAGCTACCAGAGGAGATATCGTTCAACTTTGTGGCTATATGACAAAGATATCAATATATACTATTTTCAGAATTATAAGGAAAAAAACGTAATGTGTGTTTGTTGGTAGCAAAAAAAGGAACGCACGATAGTCTATCAAAAATATCCCAGCATATTTTGCTAAGAACTTTAAGAGAAATTAATACCAGATATTTGAAGGAGAAGAGGAATAGAGTATTCATCGAAAAGGATGACATAGTATCCTGACGCAGGGAATATGTGAAAACAAAACGTAGTATTCGCGTAATGGGAAGACAGATTTATTATTTGGAGATAAAAAATGGTGAATGAAGGTCACACAGTTTCTAAATATTCGCAAGATCTAACCATCACATCTCATAAACAAGCGTATCGTGATGGATTATGTACACGTTTTCAACGCCCTACAGGTAAGGGTCGTCGTTTAATTATTACTCATAGTGGTAGTCAATGAAGGATTGAGCGATTTCTAATCCCAAAGAACTGGAGATTATCATGAAGATATGAAGCACAAGTTTTTGAAGATTGGTTTATAGCAAAATTAGAACCTCATTCTGTGATTGTCCTAGATAATGCTTCATATCACAGTCGACGTACAGAAAATTTTCCCATTTTAAAATGAAGAAAGTTAGAAATTTGTAATTGGTGGTAGATGAAATAGCAAAGTAAAAAGATATATGATTTTGAGATTACCTCCGTACCACTGCGAATTCAACCCAATCGAGTTGATATGGGCTTAAATAAAAAACGAAGTAGTGGAAGAGGCCATTAAGGGTGTAACTGGTGACACGTAGCAGAGCTGCATAAGGCGTGTAGTCAAAGAAGAGGAAAAGTTCCTGCAATTGGACCATTCCATAGAGGCGATAATCGAACTAGTGATAATTAATATAATCAACTTAAATGACGTCAATGATGGCGTTAGCACTGACAGTGACAGTTTCTGCTCAAATAATGGTCATAAAACCGCAGCGCAGCTGAGTACCATTTGTTCAATTGCATATTTATTTATATTTGCACCTATTTACGTTATATATTATTCATAGTAGTTTTGTATATATTTTTTTTATTTTTGAATCAGAATTTATCGTTTAATTTTTGTGCGTCTTTCAGTTTCAGAACTTTTTATTTTTGTGATTGGTAATTTTAAGTTTTTAGAGATTAATCATATTTATTTTTCATTTTGTTGAAACTAAAAGACTGGTCGAGGAAGGGACGGGACTCAATATGCAGCCACCTCCCCGTGGTGAAACCTGGGTGGCCCGAACATGGGCTAGCCGAGAGCTGCATTAACGTTCTGACAAATTAGTCAATTTTTACTTATATTAATCAGTTACAGGTCGCCGCACTAGCTATTTCTGTTTAATGACGGCAAGTCTTGTAAATCAGGAGGTAAATTCTACTTTTTAACCCTTTCAAAGTGGAAATCGTCGCGCGACTGCGAGCGGTCTTCTCCAAAGAAGTCGGCCATGCTCCTCGCATTCCATTGCTGTCAACAGTTTTTTTAAATAACTTTAGGCAAACACCTCGAATGGGAGTAGTAGATGTCGTCGGGTGAATTAAAGGTACGGTTAAGGTCACTTAAAAAAGTTTGATTGGAAACAGAGGATATAGTCTGGTAAAATTAACTTCGCGGTCTATTTGGGAAATAACTCGGACGGGATTTGTCGATCTCGTCCGATACTCCTTGCAAAGCTGTTAGTCCCCAACCCCCTCGCGGCAATTGATGACTGATAACTGGCGGTATGTAATTCTCAATACAAATTTTCTGTGGTGGGCCTGGTGCAGCTGCTTTTCTACTTTTTCACTCGTAACAGTTGAATAATGGGGGAAGTGGTATTACCTAAAAAAAATATTTTCCGATGAGAGGCCCCTACTACCGTCAGTAGGCCCCTAGATTTTAAAAAGAATTGGCGAATCGATCATGTTTTGATCTATTTTGCACTGTTTGGGGAAGGGACTGTTGTACCCACCCTTTATCTACGCCCCTGACGGTACGATCTATGATGACTGTGTCAGATTTATTACATGATGCTCATCAAAAATCATTGAACTGTCTTCTAACCAAAAGGCAATCTTTTTGAGTAAAAGTGATTGTAAGCTTTTATTGGATCATCACTCCTGCTCGCACAAGGCAAGGACTTAGAATCCTCCCTTATTAAGCAGGTTTACTCAACTTACATATGATTGATTTAGAGAAATAAAGATGTACAGTATTTAAAAAAAGATCTATTAATCTGAACACAAATTAGCTGGTAGCTTTTGTCTTTTGTCTCTTCATTGTTTTCTCCTTGGCTTGTTCATACAAAGGCATCAGTTTTCCTTCCTTGGCCAAAATCTTTAGAATTTCCACTATCAACGGTAGGTAGTTGTGCTTTCTCCGAATGTTCTCAATCTGGTACTGCTGTCGCTTCTTCTCTTCATCGCCTATCAACAATCGCAACTTCGCGATTTCAGCTTGTTGAGCATCAGTTTCCATCCCGGACGCTTCCACCTGCTTTTGGATTTCTTCTATTTGTTTTTGGTATATCATTTTTCTATCACTTACTATCGCCATAAGGTTGAAGTGGATCTCTCCTTCACTGTACCTGTAAATTGATTAAATGCAACAAGAAGAAAGCCTACTACAGTTTAAAAAATAAATATGCAATAATTTGGATACTAAAGTCTACATTAAACTAGTAAAAACAATGATATTGAACTAAATATGAATTGCATTGAAGTTCAATTTTTTAAATCCTTTCATTTCTATATTACACGCTATTTTTGTGATAAAAAATTAATATTGGGATATTATTGCGCGAATTGTTTCAAAAATAAGGTTCCCACATTTTTTCATGCACATAGAATTTTTTATTTGAAAAACAGAATTCATCATTGGAAACGTTGATCTTTAAGCTATTTTTCTGCATAGTCGCAATTTTTTTCTATGCATTTTAGACGTGAAATCCGCTTTTACACTCCCGCCTCAAGGAAGTCCGCCACCAGCCCGTCTAGAAACTTAGTAGCTGCTCCTTGTAACTCCTTGTCCGTCTAGCACCGTTGACCGCGTAAGTGCTCCTTCAATTTCGGAAACGCTATGGCCAATGAATTCCCAGCCAAATCGCTCATTAAGTCATTCGTTTGTCGTGAGACATAAGGATGCACATTGTTGTGATGTAGTCTTACGCTTTGGTGAATTTTCCCATACGATTTTGGATTGCCTGTCTCAGCTTTTACAGAAGCCCCCGGAATTTCAAGCGCCCGTTCCCGGATCGTTATTTTCCTATCTGGCGGTGACGGCGATGAAGAGAAATAGGCGCTTATTATTGGGATCGGTGATGGGGGGCCGACAAACACGACGCTGTTGTCAGATTTCGCCTAGCATCACGAGCGGCAAAGATACAGCGTTGGGAACCTTTTTGCTAATATCGCCTTACACTTTTTCTTGAAAATTACGTTCGAGTGATAATAAAATAATAAATAATAAAAGAATACCCTGCATAAATTTAATAAAACAAACCCTTTTTGAGATTTCAACATTTTAACGCAAAGTCAAATGGATGACTCAAAAATAGTTCATAAATTGGAATATGCTATGGATAAATATTATATATATATATATATATATATATATATATATATATACTTTTAATTCTCCGTACTCCTACGACAAAAAATGATAATTTTTGAGTTTGATGTTTTGCAACAATCATCATCATTGGCATTTAAAAAAGTTATGTAATAAATTCGTGGAAATTCTATTAGTATCCGTAATTTATACTTAGTGAGTACAATTATAAAAACTGAAAAATACCGCACACAATAAGCTAAATACATATTGGAAAGTGTCGTTTTGTTCCCTCCACATCTTCGTTTCCTCAGGTTAAACCAGAATCCTGATGGATGGGCATGTGTGTCTACTTTTGTAGTTGTAAATATGAGCATTCATTTCGGGCCTGATGAAGCCAACAAGCAGAAATACGCATTGCTCGGGTTACCTATCCTATTTTCCTCGAATCCACTTTACTTCTTTTTGCGGATTTTGCCCATTATTTTTTCTACTTGTATATATACTAAGTGACATATAAAATGCAACTCCCAGATTTACTTATTGAATTTTGATGAAAATTTGTAAACATATTTGCTATCATAGAAGTATATGCTGATAAAATGTTGAACGCATTCCGAGCCGTACTTTTTTTTAGTGATTTCTATGTGTTGGTTCCATTTGTTTCATTGTATTATCATGCCTAGAGTTCGCAGACGCGCTAATTTCACTCAACTTTTCGAGTTTGAGAGGGGTCATATAATCAGGTTACGTGAAGCCGGATTTTCTTTGAGAGAAATCGCTAATCGGGTGAATCGAAACGAAGCTTCTGAATGAGATGTTGTCGAGCGTGGTTTCAAGCAGGTCAAACTCGACGAGTTAGAGGTACTGGACGTCAAAGACGGACTACAGAGCAACATGGTCGTTATTTGAGGCAACTAGCACTTAGAGATCGACTTTCCACAATAAGGTCAGTTGCGAACCAGTGGTTTGCTGTCGGAAGGGCAATAACAATGACAGTTTATCACCGAATAAGGTCTTTTGGACTGTTTTCATACCGTCCCATCTTGCACTACCTCTGACCGGACAGCAGCGTCGATAACGATTGGTATGGAGACTTGAATGGAATATGGAATGGAACGTCCAATATTCCATCGAACGGCATGTTACTCTAACTGTGGGTGTTATGGTATGGGAAGCCATTGCTTACGGCAGCAGGTCACTGCCCAGCGCTATATCCACGAAGTTTTACAACCACGCCTGCTTCCCTGTTTGAAAACGTTGCAAGATCCACTTTTTCAGCAGGACAATGCACGACCTCATGACGCACGTGTTAGTTTAGACTTTTCAGAAGCGTCCGGAAGTAAATCTGCTTTAGTGGCCTCCTCGATCTCCAGACCTTCCCACCATCGAACATACTTAGAAGAAGTCTGCAAAATTCACCGCACCCTCCACAAACATTGGAGGCTCTACGAAACCAAATTCAGATGGCCTGATATACAATACACCAAGAAGACATTAATCACCTAGTGCAATCAATCCCGCGACGACTTAACGAATGTGTAGCGAACAGCTTCAACTCATTAACATTAAGGTGGGATATCTCTATTTAACTTTAACTAACTATTTTGCGACATTTCGAGTTAAAATTTTATACACTTTCCATTTATCAGTAGACCTAAAACTTGTAAAAGTGTGCTCAAAATTACAGCACTCCTAGTCGGTGTTGCATTTTCTATGTCATTTAGTATATATACAGGGTGGCCCATCCATGTGTGGACGGAATATTACTCTTAAACAAATACATTTTGGGATAATATACTTATGACATGTTATACATGACATTTGAAATTTTTTGATAAGCTAATTTAAAAGAAGAAGATTGATATAACATACTATGGGGTTTTGGTAATTAACTACTGAGTTGTAAGGTGTTTTGTCCAGAAAAACCATCCACTCCGGCAACCCCTCAATCTGCCATTTTCAAATTTGTAGTGCTGAATTTTTGTACCAAAAAAAACTTGCACACCTCAGCTTGTATCTTATTTGTTACTTTTTCGAATTTTCATTTTTGCTCATACAGGGTGGTCAAAAACGCGAATTGTACTTTTTCTAAAAAAATTGAAATGCGTCACCCTGTATATTTGTGCAAGTTTGGATTCAAATTTTTATAAGCTTTTTTTTGGTATGAGGTTTGATTCAGATAAAATCACTAGATTTTGAGTTATTAAGCTTTTAATAGAAAATTAAGGAAAAAAATCACATCATCCATGGAAACAAAAGACAAACAGTGGACTAGTTCCATATTGCCACTTATACCGGGTTTACATGCAGCCACTGCCGCTGCCACTCGCGCTGCCCACTGTCCTGTCGTAAATAATACCACGGCAGCATTAGGAGCAAGGGACTGTTTGCATGCAGCCACCCTTCTAACCTACCATAAACTGCTTACAAAAAACTTTCCATTACATCAAATGCAAACCAAATGGGCTCTGTCACACCTCATCTGCACCCGCTCCTACACCTAATCGAAGCGTTTTTCTTTTTTCATAGCGGCCGAAATCTTGCCATTAGCGATTGTTTTCCACTTAAGCTCTCGTATTGGGATGTTTTTCAATCCTTCGCTTATCCTTGTCCACGCGTCATGTAATTTATGTTTCTTTGTGATCAAAATGTGAAGCATACCATAATAATCTTTCAGGCGCATATAGCTCTTAAACCTTCAATACTTGATCATTGTACAGCGGGCAGCATGTAAATGGTCGCTGCCGCTCGTGCTGCCACTCGTGCTGCTGGTCCAAAAAACCGCGAACGACGGGAGCATGCGGCAGCGGCCTGAGCTTTGGCAATGCGAGCTGCGTACTTACATACTCCTGCAGCCCAATTCCCTGCTCACTGCCGTGGAAGTGGGCTGCATGTAAACCCGGTAACAATCAGAACAGTATAAATCAGCTTCAAGCGTAATAGAGAAAAACAACTATAACAACAACATAAACAAACAACTATATCACTACTCAAGACCTAATCTACAAAAACTGCTCGAAAATATCGCGACCATGTTGAATACACATCCGACGTCTTTGGATAAATGACCGTTGCACATCCCTCAGCAGGTGTGTTCCCTTATGTTCAGAAAAGCATCCTTAATCCTTTCCTTCATATTTCCCGGGGTAGAGGTGGATATCTATAAACCTCTTTCTTAACGTAGCCCTATAGAAAGAAGTCCATCGTTGTCATATCTAGTGATCTAGGAGGCCAAGATATAGGCCGATCACGACCGATCCAACGATTGTTCCTCCAGATGTCCAAATAGTTACGCACATGATTATGATAATGCGCAGGTGCGCCATCATGTTGGAAGTACATATGCATCGGAGTTTGCAGGCCCGATAACTTGTCTGCCAATAACTCCTTCCCAAACATTCAAGATCTATTTATTTTAAAAATCTATTTGCCTAACCCAGAAAGGATCTTACGTCGCATAATAGTGCATGTTATGCCTGTTGACAACAACTGCCCTGTTAAAAGTTGCATCATCGCTAAAATAACCTTATCCAGGAAAGTAGTGTCTTCACTCACTTTATTTAGCATTATTCCACTAAACTCCATTCGAGCTGCGAAATACTGAAGATGAAGACCTTGATGCAAGCATAGGTGATATGGATGGCACCTATGCTTGTGAATAATCCTTTGGACGGAAGTTCTGCATATATCAGTTTCTGCTCCAATTTGCCGTGCACTTGAGGATTTTCCTGCAACTTTAATACAACCTCCAACTGATTCGCCTCATTGGTGACACTTGGATTATTTATACATTTTTTACTATATTCCACTGCTCCACTTATTTCAAAACGTTCTCGTAGTGTAGAAAATCTTTCCGAATGTCGCATATTAGGGTACCGTTGCTTATAAATGCGAGATGCTAGGAAACTATTTCTTTGGGCACACCATATTAACCATTTTTTTAGAAAATTTCATTTTCAAACACGTTTTTATTATAATGCTCACAAAGTTAATTTTGACAGTTTGTAATTAATCAACAATTTATTTGTTTCCAAGGATGATGCGATATTTTAGGGAATTAAGCGGTTTCATAAAAGACGTGCTAATAACCGAAAAAATAGCAGTGAGAACCCTTATGTGTCTAGTATCAAAAAAGCTGATAAAAAATTGAATCCAAACTTGCACAAATATACAGGGTGATGCATTTTAATTTTTTTAGAAAAACTACAATTTGCGTTTTTGACCATCCTGTATGAGCAAAAATTAAAATTCGAAAAAATAACAAATAAGATAAAAGCTGAGATGTGTAAGTTTTTTTTCATACAAAATTCCACACTCCAAATTTCAAAATGGCTGAAGTGGGGGGTTTTTCTAGACCAAACACCTTATATCTCAGTAGCTAATTACCAAAACCCCATAGTATGATATATCAATTTTCTTCTTTTGAATTGGTTTATCCAAATATGCAATAAAATTTGAGGCATTCCGTTTGAAAAATCACAACTTTGATATGTAAGTTGAAATTGGGACACCTTGTATAATGGCCAATATTTTATAAATGTGCCCTCAAATGTCATGTATAACATCCCATGAATAGATTTTCCCAAAATGTATTTGTTTATGAATAATATTCCGTCCACACATGGATAGGCCACCCTGTATACATATAAATGTAGTATTAGTTTCGAATCACTAGAGAATGTTATACAATTTTCAATTTATTCGGGTTTTTTTGTGTAAAGACATACGTTTCTTAGACTTGTCTCACCGCCTCGAAAATTTTATCAACAGTATTCCACATTTATGCTTGTAATGACAATTTGATTGTTAAGGGCATATGATTTGTGTTCATCCATATTGATCTTCATCATAAAATATTGCAATGCTTGAAGATACAACTGTGTTAACAGTGAGTAGCAGAAGTTTTTTTCAGAATGTGAGTGAAAACAAGTCTATCACCCAATTCATGTGAATGTATGCAAAAGTGACTAGCATTCCAATGGATTGGCCAGTACAGTGTGCAATTTCCCTTGGGGAAATTAAGCTGTGAACATCTGTTTACTTATTTCATATAGCATTTGCATAACCACCAAATACCATGAAAAGAAAGGTATGTAATCAAGAATGTAGTAATATAGCAAGAATATAAGTTATACTGTCACATAGTTTACCTCTGTATTCGTTTCTCAATGATAGGCCTCACTATGTCTGTCCATTCAGTATCAGCAGGAATAGCCCCTAAATCTATCGGCCCTTGTTTTAAACCATCTAACTCGTACAATCTTCCATCTATAGGTACATAACTCACAAAATGGAACACATCTTCACTCTTATTAGACGTAGAAGGATCAAACTCAAACAGCTGTTGCCTAGCAAAAGAGTTGTGAACAGTTCTTATTACTGGGGAATTGCTTATTGTGAGTCCTTTCATATTTGCATCAAATCCTTGGCAGAATTCTTTTAAATCTGACAGTGTGCTTCCTAGTTTCAAATCTGAGTGTCGACAGTTTAAAAGAACACTCAGTATTGCTTGGGTTGCACATGCATTCTCTATCACTTGCCGAGCAAAGAATATCTTTTCTAGTCTACTGTCTTGTACTAAGGATCCTGTTGGTTCATTATCCTTAGTCCATTTGAACAAGAAAATCAATCCATGGATTGGCCTAGAACAAATAAGGGAGACAAATGAAACCCAAAAATTAGATGATATAATAATTCTTATACCCTTGTAGGCACTACATTGTGTCACATAGCTAGAGGCGAAATCTTTTTTTTTTGAGATACCTTGAAACTTTATTCAGATTGACTATAAATAGACGTACTCATGAACAATTAGCTTTATGCCAATGACAGGTTGAATGAAAAAGACACTTGGAAAGAAAATATATGTTAGTTAATATGAAGAGTACATGAATATAGTACCCACTGATTATCTTGAATGTCTCAATCAGGTCCCCTGGTAATCTTCGCGAGTGTTGTTAAATTCATAACCCTTAGACGTTGTTCATATGGCGAATGTCGAATATTTTGTAGAATTTGCGTTATTTTACGTTCCAATCTTTCCAGTAGTAAGATGACTTTGACAAAATAGGAACTTCATATGCTGTGTGTATGTTCAAGTTTTGTACATCTTGTACTTTTCTCTCATAGCAGGAGAATGTTTTTTTACAGCTTTTCCAATCAAATATATACTCAGTGACATTAGAAGTGTTACACCCAGAAAATTGGCAATATTGGGAGGCAGAATGGAATAATGTCATCTTTAGCGGCGAATCGCGTTTCTGACGCCGCCGTGGAGAACGGCGTGATTTTGGATTTGCTGTTGAGCGGTATGTACAGAGGACTGTTGGAGCAATGGTTTGGGGGGCTATTTGATGATGCCCTACAAACCACTTTACTGCCGAATGTAGAGGGCCATCCACACGTCCCTTTTCAGCAAGACAACGCTCGTCTCCATATTGCTCGTCGTACTACGGACTTTCTTCAAGAAGCACGCGTTGATGTTTTACCGTGGCCACCCCGTTCACCGGATTTAAATCCCATCGAGCATGTGTGGGAATATGATGGGAAAGATACTATCCACTTTGCACCGTCCGCCACAGACCACATTAATGTTTTTCTTATTACTTGTCAATAAAATTTCGTGAGCATGTTAAAGTTTTAGTTTTGATGAAAGACTACCTCAATGCCAAAAAATCAAGTTGAAATTATGTTTTCTGCGTGTAACACTTCGAATGTCACTGAGTATACCAGTGAGTTGACTTTTTTAATTATGTTTGTATGTCCTTTTTAATTCCGACCTCTTGTAATGCCGGGTTTCCTAATAGCTTGCTATCATCTGCATTGAATGAAATGTTTGTTTTTATACCCATTGATAGATTTGATGTGTAAACAAGGAATAGAAGAGGTCCAAGCACAGAGCCTTGTGGAACACCACTCAATACTAGGTATGGGTCACTTAGAACCACATTTGCTCTTTCTTGAAAGGTTCTCTCAATAAGAAATGATTCTATCAAACCAAAAACCTACTTACTTACACCAAAATGCTGAAGTTTATAAATCAGATGTTTATGCAGAACTTTATCAAAAGCTTTTTCGTAATCAAGATATATTATATCTATGGGACTCCCTTCATCATCTATAGTTGCCCATTGTGGTAAAGCAGAGAGCATGTTGGTAATTACAGATCATCCATGTGAAAAGCCATGCTGTGTGTCTGATATGATGTTATTTTGAAGTAAAAATTGTGAGAGTTCCCCATTATGATTTTTTTCATGAGTTTGCAAGGATTACAAGTAAGGCTTATAGGTCTGTATTTTTCTGGCAAATATCTGTCACTTTTTTTGAATACTGGTACTACATAAGAGTGAAGCCAGGCTTTAGGCATAATTCCTTTCTAGAAAGCTTCAGTCATAGCATCAGCTAGTGTATTGCATAAAGTGGATTCTCATTTTTTTAGAAATACTGAATGGTATATTTTCACAACCAGAGCTTGAATCTTGATTTAGAGACTGAATAGCTTGTACTGCTCTGGTGTAAACAGAATGGAGTTAAGTGATTCTGAGCAGTGGGTGTGAAAAGGCAAAGAAGGAACATTATCTTGCTGCGACTTGGTGGAAATCTTCAGATGTTTGCTTCGCATCAATTATAATAGCGTTACTGTCCTTCAGTGTGAGGAGTGAGACCTTAGAATTTAATACAAGTATAATACTTTTACCCTTAGGTAAGCAAATTTGCTTCATACGCCATACGAGCTTCTTTTATTAAACGTCTTACTTTATTATTCTGGTTTTAATACACTCTGTGTCTTTCTGTGTTTCTTTTATTTCAGTTTCCATACAGTTTTAGTTTGACATCAATTTCCTTGAATATTTTTGGAGTAATCCACTGCTTCTGATTATTTACCCTTACTATCTTCAATGGTATCTGTACATCAATTATGTCGGCCACTGCTCAAAGTGCTCGTATACTTCACACCTACAGGGTGGCCAATATATAACTGACTGATTTAAATTGCGCGCCATTTTTGACACACGCATTTTAGTAGATGGCGTCGTAGTAGTTTTATTTATAGCACTACAGGATCACACAACGCGTCCGTATTGTTAACACGTTTTACTTAATGAGTCGATAGTTGCAAAAATTCGGAAGTTACAATAAGATTTCGGTCTAAATAATGTGCCCAGTGTCAACTCCATTCGTCAGTTGGTGCGGAAATTTTAACAAACACGTGTAGTTAAAGACTTGCTAAGGTCGGGCCGTGTTCGAACTGCACCGTTATTTTAGATTCGTTATTCCAAAAATGCGATCAAGTGTGTCGATTTTCAACTTTTTTTTAAAAAATCTCTATTATCGTTTAACTGAGATGGATTTTTTTGCTTATTTTTTCCAGAACTAGTATACCTTGGCCCCTCACCCGGTACCAGGTTATTGTTGAGTTTTGGGGTATATGTACGTAGTCATGCCATAAGTTCTGTCCCTCGTTTTCAAACAAGTGTAGACCTGTTAATACTTGTCCGATTGTTTACATTGTGGTGTCAGTTGATTAAGCGCTTTTCGGGTAATTACATATACCTCAGTTTGTATTGATCTCTCGAAGCATAACGATGGAGTGGGGCAAGGCAGAGAACCGTATTGCAGTGATAGCTTTACATAAGTGTAATCACAGTGCTAGTCAGATTTTTGAACTCTTACGCGGCCTTCAAATATCGCGTAAATTTGTGTCTAGGACCATTCAGCGGTACAATGAGACGTCCTCTGTTGATGACAGGCCAAGAAGCGGAAGACCTCGTCAAGTAAGGTCTCCAGCAGTCATCAAAGCCGTAAAAGCCAGGATTCAAAGGAATCCACTCCGGAAGCAGAAGATCCTATCCAGGGAAATGAAGATTCCTGTCCGGACGATGTCGCGCATCATTAAACAAGACCTAGGGCTAGGGGCTTACCGGAGACGTACGGGCCAGCGACTTACGGCCACCTTGCGACACATCAGGGCGACAAGATCCAAGAAGCTCTTGGAGAGGTACGCAGCTGGGGGATTCCGAAAGATTTTGTTCACGGATGAGAAAATCTTCACCATAGAAGAAAAATTCAACCGACAAAATGACAAAGTGTATGCAAGGAGTTCACAGGAAGCTTCGGAGATCATTCCGAGAGTTGAGAGAGGCCACCACCCTGCGTCAGTCATGGTTTGGTGGGGGGTGTCCTACGAAGGGGTCACTCAGCTCCATTTCTGTAAACAGGGCGTGAAAACAAAAGCGGCAAACTATCAGAGCGACATACTGGATCCTATCGTCAAGCCTTTAAGTGGTACATTGTTTGCCAACCAACACTGGGTCTACCAGCAGGATTCCGCCCCCGCTCACAAGGCTAAGAGTACGCAGCGCTGGCTGAAAAGCAATGTGCCAGAGTTCATTGCTGCGGAAGATTGGCCCTCAGGGAGTCCGGACCTCAATCCTTTAGACTACAAGTTGTGGGACCTGCTAGAGCAGTTGGCCTGCTCCAAAGCCCACCGTAATATCGAGTCCCTGAAAGCGGATTTGATCCGATCAGCGGCAGCTATTCCTTTGGAAGCTGTGCGTGCAGTGATAGATGAGTGGCCCGCGAGATTGAAGCAGTGTGTGAAGGCCAAGGGGGGACATTTTGAATAAAACTGTTTGATTATGAATTCTAAAAATGTTGTCGAATAAATAATATCTTTCATATAAATATATCTTATCTTGTTTCATTTTTATCATGGGACAGAACTTATGGCACGACTACGTACATATCCCGCCTCCTTTTCTGTCATTCCTATCATTATGATGCAGAAAATTCCTGGAATACTTATGTGATTATAACTTATTTCACTATTGAGCCATGTTTCTGTAACCGGGAGTGAATCAGGACTTGTTTGTTTTATTCGAATTTTAAGTAATTTTAAGTTGGTTGGCCTTATTCAGTAATGAATTTGCATTTGGGTAGATTAGGGGGACTTCAATAATAACATTTTCTCGTTTTTTGGAGGAGATTGTCCCTTCTGCAAAATTAGTCTTGGGACACCATTTATGTATTTGATTTTCAAATTATGTTCTCCTTGCTTTTTCCTATTTTCTATTTCAGCCAGAACCATTTTTAAATAATTTCTTTGAGAAGGAGTTTGATCACCTTATCACCAATGTAGATCTTACTTTTGCTTCTGTACCTTCAGAGCAACACTTTTTCAAGGAATTGAACCTTCAGTGGTCTCACCTTGTTAGAATTATATCTTCTTAGTAACTTTTCTGGTAGGTCCAGTGATGCTCAATTTTTCCAGTAATGAAGAATTTGAAGTACTAAAAGGTTTTGCTGCAATCTCTGTTTGCAATTGAGTGATAGTCTTTTTTAATTCTGCAGTATCAGTGTTTGCTTTCTGAGATATCTCTGCATATGTTGGGACCTCTTTCACCTCCCGTTTCAATACCATAATGTTGTTTTTGAGCTCTTTGATTTCATCTTTCAACAATGGTAAGTCCTTAGACGTTTCAGAACGATATTCTTTAATTTTTCCCATTTCTTCTTACGAGTTGTGGCATTTCGCGCATCACCTCTCGAAATTTTGGGCAAAATAAAAGCTTGTAGCCTTTTTGCATGATTAGTGCTCTTATTTCTGTCATGGCATATTGCCTACACTCTTTGCAAATAATTTTGTGACAACAATTATATGGAAACCCAGTCACGTCATCTGTACTAGATTTTTCTTTAGGACCACAAATATCGTTTTTGTCCCAGCGCGGTCCTGGATCTAAATTCGTATTCTGTTGCTAGTCTTGAATTTGTTCAGGTAAACCAGACCAGTTTTTATTCTCTCAAGAGTTTTTTGTACGATTGAATGTGATGGTTTTTGACAACTTATATACACTTCTATAAATGCACTTTTCCACATAAAACTGTATATAGTTTCATAAGCGGCCGAACTACAACCTGTATGCGAAATCGCGATTTTTCCAATTACTGCCAAAAACCGTAAAAAATCTGAGGAGTAGAACACGCGCGTTTTCATCTCACCCAGTGTTACTGGACATTGTTTCAATTCACTTATTACCCCATTTTTGTTAACTATACACAATTATATTTCAGTTTATCCATTTGTCGTTTTTCCCTATTATTTCTACAAGATACTGTTTTAGATTATTCATTCAATCATTTTTAGCAAATATACCCTTAAAATTCTTTTATTTTCATTATCATATCTCCTGTTGTCTATTCTCCAACGTCACTTGTTTTGTATTTGATGTCCAGGTATTGCTGGAATATGGTATTTTGTAAAAACAAATTCCCATATAAAAAGTGCTCGATCCAAAATTATTTTTGTCCTGATTACATATTACACTGTTGTGTACACGTTAATGCAGCGACTGACTGAAGCTGAACACTGTAATGTAATGCTCACTTCGAGCATTAAATTCGTGATTTGAGTTCACTTGGAATGCTCCACAACTTTCTAGTGCAGTATGTGTCGAAATGTCAGACCTAGAAGTAGCTAGTGTTGCATTCAAAATCGAAAAGATAAACCCTGTGATGATCTTCTAGTTCCCATTACTATAAATTTATTTTTTTTTTCTCAATTTTATTTTTATTATATAATTCTGAATTATTTACTAAAATTTAACGCCAACTGCTTCACTTTTTTCCCTAACAAGTATTCAAATTTATCGATTTTCCCAATTTTGTTGATTGTACTAAAAAAAAGTACTTTGCTAGTGTAGCAAAAAAATTAAATGTTGGCACATTTAGGCTAGTATCAGACACAGCTAATTTTGCTGTGCAGCATAGTAGAAAACTGCGCAGCCTGAGCTGCAAGAAGTCTGAACACCCGCGCAACCTGAAAAGTTGCGTATGCAACTCTGATTACGCGCAGTATGTTCTTGCTGCGTGCAGTTTGGAAGTAGCCAAGTGTGAACAGCGATATTTGTAGGTTGCACGTGCAGCAAAAAATATCAAATCGATTGAAACTTTTGCTGCGGCAGCCGGTGCAGTATTTGTGGGGAAAGTGAATCTGACAGCATGGTAAATATCGGATGTGATTTTATTGATAGAGGTACTTTAAGGGTATAATAACCTTTACAGTTGTTTGGGAAGAAACCAAGCACGAAACAAATCAGTCACACCAAAAAAATCACCCATACACAGGAAAATCAACAAAAGGAAGCCCGCCAACAGGAAACACACGGAGTCAATCGCCACCTTAAACCTGCAATAAACCCTAAGATACGTGGTAATGTTAAGTTTACCATCACTGACCTTTCATCACTATCATTGTATTTAAGATTCTAAAATGTGCCTATTCATTGAAGCACAGAATACAGGTCACAATAGCAAATTTAAGTGAATTAAAATTATTGGGTTAAACTTTTTGCAACCACATGTATCATGAAGTTAGTTTTTTGTAATAAACAAGAAATTAATTATATGTTTTAAGCTTACTTCAGGCTTTCAAATTGTTCTCCGTCCAAACTCCAAAGTTCTTCTACTTGCACTCCTTTGCATCCTTTAAAAAAATTAAAAAAAGATGTTAAAATCATGCCAACGAACTACACATTGCTTTTTTGTTTACCGAATTCTCGAATCAATTCAGTGAATACTCCTGGGTCGCTCTCGATCAAGCACCAATTTCCAGCAGAGTCTGCCATTGTAAAACTTCACTTTCTACTTGATAAAGAATACTTCTATTGACGGAGCAATCTGAAAATTATGAAAATCCTGCGAAATCAAGAATAACGAAAATCATCAATATAACCACAAATATAACATCACCTAACCTAATTCCAAAACACAAACACTGAAGAAGTGGAAGCTGCACGTTAAATGATGGTAACGCTATTGACGTTTGTCAGATGGTTGCGAGGACAGCGCCGTACATGAGTCAACTTATATGGGAGAATGGGGAACAGTGCGGTTTTGCCGAACCACAACCAGACAGCACTGTTGGTATACATAAAAAATGGCTGCTTTGACAAATTTGATGGTTGATTGCTGTCATTTTTAGTTAACCTCTCTTTTATTCAGTGTGGATGGCTGGATGCTTCGAAGGTTTTTCGTTACTACAAATTTTATTGAAGTACGTTCTTATTTAAACTACATTTCTTGTTATGTTGGTGAAATTGTATAAGAGAACAACTCATTTTCTTCTAGGTGATTGTAATCAACAAAGGGAGCATCCTGGTCGCTTGAAGGAAAGGCTTAGTGATAAATAGATTCTATATTGGAAGGATGAATTATATATATATATATATATACTATTGAGGATTTCTATTTGATTCAACAGTCACAAATGTGGAGTGCTATGAAACGTTCAAGAAGCAGAGCTGAAGGCACTGCCAACCCATGGTGATCAGAGATAGATAGAACACAGATCTACCTGCTACTCTTTTCTCTCCAGGGCAGGAATGTAATGTTATGTTTTAATCAAAATGTTTAAAACGAGTGTTTTAAACACTGTTTAAAACAATGAAGGTGTTTTAAACCAATTACTTTTTTAACCTGTTTTAAACACTGTTTTTTGTCGTTTGTGAATTATTCAAGTTTGATTAAAATTGATTTTATTTCGCGAAACGAAACTAAAGGAGTCAAATATTAAAACACATGACCTTAATAAACTGCATTGAACTCTAATACTAGTACACTACAAGCAGCAGAATAATTATATAATTAGACTATGTAGTTACTTTTATAATAACATTAAATAAGTTACTTAACGAATTTCTATAAAAGTATACAACCCATCTTATTCAACAAAAAATCCTTAAATCCATATTTTTGAAATATAAAATCATGGAAAATGTAGTATAAATTTTTAGTTTTCACTACTTTTTACGGAACTCCAAGTAAAAAAAATTTACCTTTTTCACAATTTTCCAAGCTTTGAGGAAATCGGTTCGGTAGAACTATCTGATATATGAATATTTTGTTTTTCTAACAAACTTCCTTGTTTAAGTTGTTTGCAATTTTTAATATGCATGCGCATTCTAGCCATCAGTGGCACTATATCCATATTGCAGGTTAAACATTTTGCTATTTTATTTATTTTCGAGCCAGCTTTGGCATCAGTCTCCTTAAAATATTTCCGCATCGGATCCTTTCTCCTCCCTGTCAGTACCTTTCTTTTTTTTGCCGATCTTTAATGCATAAAAAACAAAACACCACCACGTTACGACTTCGCACATTTGACCGCTGGATCGCAATCGCAACGCGAAAAATTACCCAAAGGCAAACGGTACTTCCCCGACGTCCGCACGGTAGTTTTTTTATATCGAAGCAGTCGCGCAGGCAGAAGCCTAAATGCCGGAACACCGCGGCTGCTATGATGATCCCAAAGAAATTTTGGCCAGTTCTGGATGTCCGAAGTTCGACACGGTTAGGATGGGACGCCAAAGTCAGGCGGGTCTGCCGGGCAGGTACATCACGCCGCGGCATCATGGAAGAGAGCTCTGAGGAGCAAAGCCCGTTGGTGTAGCGGTAGAAAAGAGCTAGATCGCCGACGGCCCGCCGGTACGAAAGAGTCCCGAGACTGTCTGTTAGAGAAGAGTCATCGATCAATCGGGCCGCCCTCCTCTGGACAGCATCGGGGCATGACCCCAAACGTGTGAGCAATGCTCGAGGCTAGGCCTTACCTGGGCCTTGTATAGAGTGAGAAGGTCATGCGGAGAAAAGTACTTCTTAGCCCTAAACAAATAGCCTAGCTTTTTCCCAGCAGCTGCAGCTATTGACGAGATGTGTTCGTGCCAGATTAGGTCCCCGGTGACCAGCCGCTGCAAAGCTTTTCTGGAAGGCCATAGGATGGAAGTTTGCTTAAGAGGGCAGCGTGCAGCTGATCGAATACTTTCGTCATGTCAAGAGCAACGACATGAGCCTCACCGTAAGACTGGATGAGTTTACTCCATAATTGCGTGACGTAAACTAGGAGGTCCCCTGTGGATCGTTGGTGCCGGAAACCATACTGCCTGTCGCTAATCAAGCTGTGACTTTCGAGGTAGTCCAGAAGCTCGCTATTTATGCATCTCTCCATCACCTTACTTATAACAGAAAGCAGAGCTATAGGCCTTTAGTTGTAAGGGACAGTCTTAGATTCTTTTTTAGGGATGGGTTGGACATGAGCAAATTTCCAGTTTTCTTTCATAAGATATCTGGAAGAGACGCGAAAGAACTGGAGCAAGCTCCGCTGCACACCTCTTCAGTACAATGGCAGGAATCAAGTCCGGACCAGAAGCTTTGTTGATGTCGAGCGACAAGAGCACTCGTCTTACGGTCTTATGCCTGAATGTTACCTGCCGCATAGTGTAGGGAACGCTTTGAATTGACGGCACTTGGGCGTTGGGGGGGACGTCCATTGTGGAGTTGGCAGCACAGATCTTGGCTAGCACTTCCGCCTAGGCCTTTGAGTCGAATACAATAGTTCCATCCTGACATGTAAGTGGTGGAAGGCTACTGTGTGAGAAGTTCTTTTTAATCTGCTTGGCCGGCGTCCAGAAAGACCGTCTGCCATTGCGCTGCGACATTACCCTGTGCCTAACTTTTATATCGTGCTGGTTTTTGCGATCCGCTTCGTTATATTTGTTTCTGGACTCGACGTCGGCTTGTCTGTTCTCTACAGTGGGGTTTTGTAAGAAGGTTCTGTGCGCCTTGATCTTCTGCTGGCGAGCAGTGTCACACGATTTGTTAAACCAGCCGTTGGACCCTGGTTTAGACACTTTCACTGTCTGAGGGATGTATTCCTCCATTTCGACGTGGATAATTTCGGTTATCGAAGAACAGATAGCCGACGCATCCGCGTCAGTGAAACATTCATCTCTCCAAGGAAAGTTAGAGAAGAAGTCTCTGAGCCCCTCCCAGTCGGCATGTCCGTAATGCCAAGTTTTGCGGCCTGTACGAGTTTCTGCTGGCACAGCGCGTTCTGACCGAAACCTAACGTCCACTACACCATGGTCTGAGTTACCCAAGGGGAACTGGACAGCAGTGCTGTAAGGGACAGGATGCGTGGTCAGAAAGAGATGCAGCAGGCTACTGGCGTGTGACGAGACGCAGGGGAAAAAAAGTAGGGCTCGTCACCAGATGGGTCACCCTTTGAGTAAGAGCGAACGCTTCGACTGCACGACCTGCTGCATCGGTCTTGTTTGAGCACAACCAAAGCTCATTATGGGCATTGAAATCACCGAGAAGAACTACCTCTGAAGCGGGGTGATTGATGTTCAGGAAGTCGATCTGGACGGCGAGGTATTCGAGTAGGTCATCCTGGTTATGGTCCGAAGGAGAGCGATAAAGGCAGCAGATAAATTTGGGTGATATTTTGGAGTTGAGGCGAAGCCACAGAATGTCCTTCCGATCTGATTCTAAAGAAACATCTCTGGAGCAGGAAAGACTGCTGCGGACAAAAGTCACAACTCCCCCGTTCTTTCTCCGATTGGAGTGCACCTCGTAGTTTGGGAAGTTAAGATGGTTAATCGGTGCAGACTCTGAAATTTTTGTCTCCGCCAAGAAAAGCACGGCGGGGCGATTGGATTGCAGGTAGTGATGAACAGCATCAATGTTGCTGTTAATCCCGCAGATGTTCGAAAAACAAATTTTATCTTCGATGTTGTTAACTCGAGCCCACCCTCCACCCGGACATTCCGATAGTGGAGTGAGTTTACGTCCGGAGTCCTTAGTGCTCGAGGGATCCATCCTCATTAATTTCTTTGTTTTGGAAGATAACTGACTGCATAGCTTAGGTGTGGAAACATGCGAGCCTTTATAAGACACCCTGGGAAAAGCTAGCGGGTGGTACCGCCTCGGTCGACTGGTCCTTGTCTACCACCTACTTTTTACGTGTTAATGATATTAAATAGACCTAAAGTGGCCCGTTGGCGGACTTGTACCGCTACCCGGCAATCGGTACTGAGGTATTCCTTAACGCATGTACGAGTACAATCACTTGAACGGGAAGAATTTTTAGGCAGCAGCGGTGGCCGCAGTAGTAGACTCTTCGGTCTCCTGATCAGTCGCCGTGCGCTGTGCGGGTTCGAGTCCCGTCCCAGGAGAAATTTTTCTCTTGGCTATGGATGTTGTGATTGTCCGTAGGTGGTAGACGGTCTCTGACTGTCGAACGCGGAGGTACCACCCGGCGGATCTCGTAGGCGGAGCCAGAATGTGTGCATGTTGCATGTACACGTGTTCCCTCGCCAGAGTCCGTGCGGCGCTCCCCCTTTCCCATGTATCCCCCTATAGCCCCACGGTACCCAATGGGTGCTCAGGCCTTAGGCCTTCGTGGTAGTTGGAGTATAAAAAAAAGTTGTTTACTGGATACAACAACTTCCGGAAGAAGCATTTGCCACGGCCCCGTGTTAATAAAAAAAAACAGTTAAACAGAAAAAACATGATTTTTGTTTTTTTTCAACCCTGTGCCAGGGCATATATCTCAACAATTGAGTTCTTCAGGATAATGGCTAATGTAAGTTTATGTTAAAACGAGTGATTTGTAGAGCCAGAATGTGTGCATATTGCATGCACACGTGTTTCCTCGCCAGAGTCCGTGTGGCGTCCCCCCTTTCCCCTGTATCAAGCCTGTGCCAGGGCATATATCTCAACAATTGAGTTCTTCAGGATAATGGCTAATGTAAGTTTATGTTAAATCGAGTGATTTGTAGCGCTTCTATGTTAATATTGCTATTCTGTAGTCGATATGAGAAACATGACAATTTCCAGAGATTCCAAGTTTGAATATGAACTTCAACATAAAGGGTTATGTTACTGTAGTAAATATGTATAGTTTAAAAAGAAGCTGATAAAACATAATTGAAAGTCAGATATCCTGAATATATAGCCAATATGTTTGAGTCATAAGATCTTATACGAATTATTTTAATGATGCTGTAAAAATTCATGAATTATATATAATGATATTTTTTGTAAAACTTTTACATTCTGATTATCAGTGTCACGGAAATGTGATTTGATATTCCTGTGTTATAATTCTTAAAAAAGATTTGGTAACTCTAGTAACCTTACAGTTGTTAACGATAACTATTATTTCTTTTTGAAATAATTTGTTTTCATCACTAATTCTAACAATTTTTCCATGCAGGTGCTGCAGAAGACCATCACCAGAAATGAAAATATTTGGACCATAAATATTATTGATGTGTTCATACAATATAAAATTTAGATAAAAATATAATTCTCAATTATAGATTTTTTACTGTTCTCAAAATTTCAAATAACTAGGATATATGGATGATTTTATAATGGCCTGTGTAAGTGACTAATTATTTGTCAAAACAGCAAAAATATGTTAATAACACATGTCGTTATAAAATCTTCCATATATCATTAGTAAATGTCCAATATATAATTATACGAGTGTCAGATTTATGCAAAGAGAGGAATGTGTTGGTGAATTCGTTTGTTCAAAATTCGAGATCTGCTGAAAATGATATTTCTGATATTGAAAAATTATTAAAAATATCCCCAATAAGGGTAATACCTTTTTCAGCAAATAAGTTTCTGAACAATAAAATCTAATACTAATTATTATGCTCAAAATACATTTATTTTCAAACAATAATCACATGCTGTAAACATCTTTTTCGACGATAGTATAAAAATTTTATTACATGAGAATATAGATAGGATTATTAAAAATACATGTTGTGTTGCCAATCGCAGGTTTCTCACTTCATTGAATTACTTCTCGATGTTTCTGAAACAATACAGAAAACACTAATGTAACTTATACATTCTTCGTGTTTTTGCTTAATAAAACTTACAGTTATGACTGTACTCTGCCGATTCTACCATGCGTTATTTAGTACAAAAAGGTTTTAGAACTTCATATAACCACGGCTATAACGTATCTGGAAAAGTGACATTTCGTCGGTTTTTTGTTTATATTGCATATTTTTTTTACATTTCGTAGGTTTTTCTATTCTATGTTAACTTTGCACAAACAGTTGTGAGTTCGTTTTATAGCTGTGCGTGTTGCTTAAGTCAGCGCTCATAGCAAGCAAACGTAGAATGAACTATTTGCACACTAAAAACTACCTAGTCTGCAAGATCACATTTCGTCGCTTTTTTGACATTTTTTAGATATTTTACATAATATCCCTGCCCCATTACTATATAAGTATAGCAATCTCAGATTTATATGTAGAGCGTGTTTGCGTGGTTTGAATGCACACTCTGGCAACCATGGCACACACTGAAAAAATGGCCGCTGACAATGTGATAAGTCATTCGTGTTATCGCTTGAATAATATGGAATTAAACCTTCTACAGTATATGTTTTGTGGTCTTACCTGTTTTTTGTGCGTGTTGTGTCAGTTTTGTGTTTGAGCACAACACATAAGTGGTTATACGATTTGGTAGTAGTTTATTATTTCAAAAATTATCACTTGAAAATTCCCTTGTAATTCGTGTCGACTGACCAGAGTCCGCGAATTATTACGGTTGGTATTAGAATTTTGTGAAAGTATGCTGTAGGTGACGATATCCATGTTCCAGCACAAACTCCTTTTTTTTCCAGATGACTGAACAACATAGATTTGGAAATAATCCGATTACGTGCCATGCTTGGAATGCGGATAAAACTCGTAAGTTCTTAAAGTGACTTCCACAAATATTCCTTCCCACAATAATAGATAAACAATAGTTTCGAGTCTCAAGACAAACATTTTTTTCACTGCTTTTACCTGAGAAATCACCTACTATTTGTCATTTGTTTGTCTAGGCGGTCCATAGGACCTTTAACCATTAGTCACTGTTTAATGTACGTTAGTAGAATCTTTATGTCCTGGTTGCCCAGACACAAATGTCAAGGAAAAAGAAAAGGGAAACAGAAGATCAAAGAAAAACAGAAGTGCATTAGTTTAAGAGGAATCATCTAGACTTTTTGACTTGGTACATGGATTAATTTTGAGGAGAACTAAAAACTAATTTTGATTCATGTTTTGTTAGAGTGTAATTTTGGGTTAACTAAATGTTTGCACTAATTGTTGATCACAGTTTGGCCTTTAATGTTTACAAACTTGCTCCACTGTGTAGTCCACGGAGTCATGCATCAGAGGGTTGCTTTATCTTGTTTAAAAGAGTACCAGGACTGATTTAATTCCATTAATCTTATTCATTATAAAGTTTTGCTATTGATTTTTACTTCTTGCTTTGTGACTTATAGGTAAATATCAGTCTTTTTGGTTTCAATTTTATGGCCAAAAGGTCCATGTTTTTCATAAATTCAACTTAAAATCAGTGAACAGAACAAAATAATAGCAAAAACGGCAATTACTTACTTTCCGTATATATTTTCTTTTATGTGCGAGAACTACTATAAAAAGTAAGTTTATTCACACAAAAAATAAGAAAATAGTCTTTGCTGCACCACAATTTTAAGCATCCTGTAATAGTGGCACTAACTCTATTAATTCCAAGTCTTTTACTGCGCCTGCTCAGATGTCAAATGTGGCCAGGAATTATTAGTAGCTGGCTTTATTGGACGTTCAATAACTCTCTAATCTGGAAATCACTCTGAGCCTCTTCAGGCTCAAATTGCAAGCCCTGCAAGCTTTTATACATGTCACTTTTGAGATGTTTGTACACTTGTGGTGTAGGCTCTAATCCCTTACCACACATCTTGTTAAGAAGTGAGAAAACGACACATTGTTCACAAATGGATGTGGGGGAATTGATCAATCAGTAGAGGCGCGACTGGTCATCTGATCAAACTTCACCCTGTTTCCTTTCTCCTATAGCCTTACCATTATGTTGTACCTGGTAAGGGGGGAGGTGCACGAAAAGATTACAGTAGACAACCTAAATGCAAGTCGTTTCAACTTATTATTAGAAGTAGCCAAAGTGGTAGCCAGTAGCCAAATTAGTTTTTTGGTAGCCAGTTACTCCACTGAAGAAGCCAAATTGGCTACAAGGAGCCATGTCTGCCAATACTGAGTACTGCAATATGTTAGCTGACACGCGCCTAATATGCAAGTTTTTACATGTTCAGACTAACTCGCCACGGGTTGCCCTGGTTCTAGGTACATAAAACTTTATTTACAATTGTTTTGACATTGTTCAAGCAAAATTAGAGGGTATGCGTTTGAAAAAAAAAGACCTTCCATTTTTTTTTTGACACCCCAATATCCATGGAGAATATTGGAATCATGCTCCCAACACTATTTTCAAATTTCTGTTAGTAGTTATATTCTGACCAGAATTTTGGTTGCAAATTAATGTGCAAGCATATTATTTTTATTCCAGATGTTGCATTGTCTCCCAACAACAATGAGGTCCACATCTATCAGCGCAATGGGGCAGATTGGAAACAGGTGGACACACTGAACCAACATGATTTGCGAGTTATGGGAATTGACTGGGCCCCAAAGACGAATCGTATTGTGACCTCCAGTGCAGATCGAAATGCGTATGTTTGGTCTCAAGACAAGGATGGGAAGTGGAAGCCAACCCTAGTGCTGTTGAGAATCAACCGCGCGGCTACTTGCGTGAAGTGGTCGCCAGAGGAGAATAAGTTTGCTGCTGGCTCAGGAGCACGGCTTATTTCCATTTGTTACTTTGAGAAGGAGAATGATTGGTGGGTTAGTAGGTCCAACATATAACCTATAAATCGATATTTCAAATAACATATCTAATAGTCAACAAAAATGGTTTCTTACTGCTGCTTGTAACAATATGTAAAAACATAGTATTTCATCTTGCTTCGCACATTACCTTCTAGGTACAGTACCAAGGTATCGCATTGTAAATATATCACTTTGTTGAGCACACGATGATGGCATCCTAACACAGCTTAGATAACAATCAGCTATGAAACTCTCCAGTCAGTGTCAAAAACGGTGGAGAATTTCGAATGTTTTCCCCCAGTACAACGATGAAAGAGGTTTCAGCGTTCCGTAATGAGTAGTCCTAGACGGTGTTGTCGCGTACCATGCTAGCTGCCTCAGATATGCGTTGCAATTGTAAAAACGAAGCGATGGAGGACACACGAACAATAAACGGAAAAATATTTACTTTTGTTTGATATATTTATATAGAAGAATTGAAGGATCCAGAACGAAAACATTTCTTTAAAATGATGCTATGATGGTACCATAGAATTGGCCCCAACATTTAATTTTGAGACTCCAGTTTTTGGAATATATTTTCGCGAATTTGAGCATCAGTGCCTGTAGCCTAGCGTCGCGAGGCGTGCGTACCTTTACAAAGTATTAAATTACGTTTTAACGATTTTGTATTCATGCTTACAATAGATCGGTAAATATAGAGCACTGATCATTAGCTTTACCAGTTTCCAATCTATACTACCTGTTATCTCATTATATCGTAACATGATAAATGAGATGAAATAGTTTTATACTTTTAATTGTTCAGGCTTGGTTCTCGTAGTAGTAGACTTAATTTTTTCCATAGATGTACAGGGTAGCCCGTCCATGCGTGGACGGAATATTACTCATAAAACAAATACATTTTGAGAAAATCTATTTATGGCATGTTATACATGACATTTGAGGTCACATTCCTAAAATATTGGCAATTATACAAGGTGTGATTTTTTAAATGGAATGCCTCATATTTTATTGCATATTTGGATAAACCAATTTAAAAGAAGATTGATATAACATACTATGGGGTTTTGGTAATTAGCTACTGAGATGTGAGGTGTTTTGTCCAGAAAAACTGTCCACTTCGGCAACCCCTCAATCCGCCATTTTGAAATTTGGAGTGCTGAATTTTGTATCAAAAAAAACTTACGCACCTCAGCTTTTATCTTATTTGTTACTTACCCTGTATATTTGTGCAAGTTTGGATTCAATTTTCTATAAGCTTTTTTGGTATAAGGTTTGATTCAGATAAAATCACTAGATTTTGAGTTATTGCTTTTAATCGAACACCACACCAAAACTAAGGAAAAAATCTCATTATCCATGGAAACAAAAGACAAACAGTGGGCTAGTTCCATATTTACACAAAGAGTACAGATTTGAGGTAAAAACTAATAGCAATCAGAACAGTATAAATCAGCTTCAAACGTAATAGAGAAAAACAACTAATACAACAACATAAACAAACAGTTATCACTACTTAAGACCTAATCTACAAAAACGGCTCGAAAATAACTCCACCATGTTGAATACACAGCCGTAGTGTTTGGATAAATGACCGTTGCACATCCCTCAGCATGTGTGCTCTTATGTTCAGAAAAGCATCCTTAATCCTTTCCTTCATATTTTCCTGGGTAGATGGTGGATATCTATAAACCTCTTGCTTAACGTAGCCCCATAGAAAGAAGTCCATCTGTGTCATATCTGGTGATCTAGGAGGCCAAGATATAGGCCCATCCCAACCGATCCAACGATTGTTACTCCAGGGGTCCAAAAAGTTACGCACACAATTATGATAATGCGCAGGTGCGCCATCATGTTAGAAGTACATATGCATCCGAGTTTGCAGGTTGACATCCTCCAAAATCAAATTTGTACTCTTAGTGGCAATATGGAACTAGCCCACTGTTTGTTTTTTGTTTCCATGGATGATGGGATTTTTTTCCTTAATTTTGGTGTGTTGTTCTATTAAAAGCTTAATAACTCAAAATCTGGTGATTTTATCTGAATCAAACCTTATAACAAAAAAAGCTTATAAAAAAATGAATCCAAACTTGCACAAATATACAGGGTGATGCATTTGAAATTTTTGAGACAAACGACAATTTGCGTTTTTGACCACCCTATATGAGCAAAAATTAAAATTCGAAAAAGTAACAAATAAGATAAAAGCTGAGGTGTGTAAGTTTTTTTTATACAAAATTCAGCACTCAAAATTTCAAAATCGCGGACTGAGGGGTTGCCGAAGTGGGGGATTTTTCTAGACAAAACACCTTATATCTCAGTAGCTAATTATCAAAACCTCATAGTATGTTATATCAATTTTCTACTTTTGAATTGGTTTATCCAAATATGCAATAAAATTTGAGGCATTATATTTGAAAAATCACTACTTTGATATGTAGGTCGAAATTGGGACACCCTGTATAATGGCCAATATTTTAGAAATGTGCCCTCAAATGTCATGTATCACAGACCGTTAATAGATTTTCCCAAAATGTATTTGCTTATGAGTAATATTCCGTCCACACATGGTTGGGCTACCTACCCTGTGTTATACGAGAATAAGCCATTTTAGGAATCAAATAAAGCATTTTATAGACACGCATTTTATTGAAATTTCCAGTCTCGTGATCTAGTGTGTGTAAGTTTTGAGCATATGTTTTGTCGTTTTTTCATAAATAAATAAATATCAATTTTGAACAAACTTGTTCCTTTATTATTATTGGTTCGCATAAACTGCTCAAGATCATATCGCAATATTTATTATAATTTTTACGATTGAACGCATATCTGCCGCCACTAGCATGGTAAGCGGCAATACCGCCTAGGACTGTTGAACACCCGATTTGTGGAACAAATTACACCAATTTCTTCAAAAAATGTAAACATCAAATGCTATAAACTAATAAATATTCATACGAGTTGATTTTGAAATAGGTCTCAATAAAATAATTCATCAGAGATTAAAAAAAGAAAAAATTGTCGTATACGGATGGGATGTGAACCACTGACCAAAAAACGCAATAAAACCCGTCACTAAGGCTACGTACGCCTTGGGACGCTAGGCTACAGACATTGATGTTCAAGTTTGCGAGAGTGTCATCATATTCCAAGGACCGGCCCCTCCTATGATGATTTATGAGAAAAGGAACAATAACATTTCTTAAAACTTTCAGTAAATGAAATGTGGGGGCAAATTCTTTGATACCAAAATAGCATCATTTTAAAAAAATGTTACTGCTTTACTTAATTTCTTCTACTTAAATATAGCAAACAAACGTAAATATTTTTCCGTTTATTGATAGCCTTCCACCATTAAAAATTTATTCTGAAGCTTTTTCATAAATAAATAATCATCAATACTCCGTCGCTTCGTTTTGTACAAACATGCTCCTTTTTTATTATTGGTTCACACAAACTGCTCATTAGCTCATATCACAATAAACGCAGCAACACCGCCTAAGACGACTCACAGCGGAACGCTGAAATCTCTTTCATCGTTGTACTGGGGGAATTTACATTCGACATTCTCCGCCGAAATGGCGGTGGTTTTTGACAGTGACAGGAGAGTTTCATCGCTGATTGCTATCTAAGCTGTGATCCTAATAGGGTACTTGTAGTGGTCATAAATTTGTGGCATAATAGTTTGACTGTTGTTCAGATAAAGAAATTAGCAATATTGAATAAGGGTTTATTTGACTTCTGTCATCGGTGCGAAGTATCGAATCCACCCCAATGCAACGAATTCCCATCTCTAGGTTAATCTCAAACCTCCTTGAGCTGTCATTAATCAAATCCAAGCGAATAACCAAAATTTCTGTGTTATGTGCCGCGGTTATAATATGGTTCAAGATGGCACACGGGTTGATGACGTCAGTTACACGGATCGCTTGAACGCGTTGGTTTTAACCGCGGTTTTGTTGCAAGTTGTTTATTTTAGAAAAGCGCGTATATAATCTCTAATTATTTTTATTATCATTTAATAATCGGTGCTCTTTCGTCTACAACTGTATATGGAAAGTTTAAATAAGAAACCTTTCATAATATTCATGGGAGAAATGTTTTTTCAGATTTTGTTTTTTTAATGATGGAACCATGGCTTTGTAGCTATGATAACTTTCAATTCTCTAAATTTTTCTGCATGTCAAAGAAAACATTTATTGATTCAGCAGAAATGATGAAAACATAAATTAGCAAAACCGTATACAGGTGGATATCATCTAGTGAGTTTATATGGCCATATTTTAATATTCTTGTGGTATATGGCTACACAGGATACTTTGTTAAGCATAGGAACTACATTTAAAGTGTCCCCAACAACCGTAATGAGTATAACTAATAAGGTGCTCCACTTTATGGTAAAACTGAAGTCAGCCTGTATCATTTTTCTCAAAAATGAAGCTGAAGTACAATAACAATATCCAATACAAAAAAAATTCTAACTTGTCACATTTCAAATAATAACCAGAAATATAAAACTACTCTTGAGTTGGGTAAATACCACAATTTTGCGGTGATAACTATGACATATAACAGCTGATTCGTGACGTCACGGATCTTATAACCAAACTGATAACTACACTCGCTTGAACGGATTGGTAAATACCAACCCAAAATGGTAAATACCATTTCCATTTGGTTATCCGCTTGAATTTGATTATTATTTGTTTTACCGTCTTTTGCGACTATTTGTGATTGTTTTGTTTATTTGCAACTAAAATCGCTTGAAAATGTAACAAACGGTTAAGTTAACGCACAATCCGATAATTTCCTGTCACTTGAACGGATTTATGATTGCCAAGTTGCCGGGCCTGTTCGATTAATTGATTAATATGTGTTATTATAGCATAACTTACATCAAAATGAGCTTCACGCACAAAAATGTTGGTTTTGTTGGATATATCGGTAACCAAATAAGTTCGTGAGGATTTTAGTAGAAAAATATAAATTTTTATTGAGAAACAATAAGACAC